GGGTGGTGGGAAGAGTTCGAAGACCTCTGGGTGGGAACAGGCATGGCTTGGTTGTGGACTAGTCAGGATTAAGGGAAACCAGAGGGAGTGAGGAAAGGGACAGAGGATGGGGGCGGGGGGGAGTGAGGGAAGCAGCCGGGGTGGGGGGGAGACACACGTGCCTGAGGTTTGACCAAGAAATCAGAGAGGTGTCATAAGTAGGACCAAGGGGGACTCTGGGTTGTGATTTGTGGGCTTGGGAAACCACTGAGAGTTTGGGACAGAGCAATGACTTGACCACCATGGAGATTGGCAAGTAGGGAGACAGTGGAGTAGGGGACGGGGCAGGGTGGGGACAGTGGAGAGGGCCAAGAGTGCCCAGCACTGGAATCATCTGGAAGCTAGGGAAGGCTGTGGGGGGGGGGGGGTGGAAGGGGAACATACGCCAGGACGACAACCAGCTTATGGCCTAAGCCACATGGAATTGCCGTTAACAGAGAAGGGCCGAGGAGGTGCGGGATGGGGAGGGTGGGGTCTCCACATCAGGCCACAGGGAGGCAGCAGGCCTGGCTGTTAGCACCGAGTTCAGCGGCACAGGGCCAGGAGACCTCAGGGCGAGAGGACTGCGTGCAGTCTGTGTAGAGAGGGCAGCTAAGGCCACGGCAGCAGATAAGATCTCTGGGGGAGTGAGTGGGGCCAGAAGGAGGGCCAGGGCATGTGCCAGGCACCACCCGTCTCAGTGGGTGGCTTACAGTGCTCAGACACCTGCTTAAATTCTCCCCTAACACCCTTTCCAGAAGGCATTACCTTTTTTTTTCTTTCTTTCTCTCTCTCTCTCTTTCTCTTTGGTTTTGGGCCACGCCTAGTGATGCTGGGGTTATTCCTGGCTCTGCACTTAGGAGTTACTCCTGGCGGTGCTCAGGGGACCATATAGGATGCCAGGGATCAAACTAGGTCTGCTGTATGCCGGACAAGCACCCACCCGCTGTACTATCTCTCCTGCCCGCCCCCCCATACCCTATTGTCCTTTTTTTTTTTCCTTCCCTAAGCGAGGTTCAGGAAATTGAAAGGATTGCTAAGTTCCACAGCCTGGCTAGGGGATGTGAGGCCTCAGGCTGCCCCTGTGCTCTTGCTTCTGCTCCAGCCCTTCTGGGCCCTGCTGCACACTGGCTGGGATGACCTTGGGCAAGGTCAGGAGAACAACGGGGCACCCAGCCCAGAGTGACTCAGGCTTTGGCTGTAATTTGCACTTGGAGCTGAGGCTGGCAGTGTGCCATCCTCTCCTGACTGGGGTTCCTTTCCAGCCAGGGAGGTGGGAAGCTTGACTCCCTGGGACCTGGGAAGGACAGGTGTGGGGTGTCTGCCCACCAACCCCCAGATGCCCAGAACCTTGGAATTGGCCACCAAGATGGCCCCCGAGCTCCACTGCTCAATGTCCACTTCCTCTTGCCGAAGTTAAGGGTTAGTGCCCTGATTCCTTGCCAGGACCCAGCAGCTGGGGTTCAGAGAGACTGAGTGGTTTCCCTAAGGTCACAGAGCTAGCACTGGGGCCCAGCCAACAGACAGGATCCCCCGCCCGACGCCGTCCAGTACCGTCTGGGTCACCTCGCCTCTGCTGAATTGTCGGCCAGGCTCGGCCGGTCTCCCGAGCCCACGGCACAGAGGACTGCATTTCTGAGGCCCCTTGGCTCCGAGCCCTGCCAGCCTGACTTGGCAGTCTTGGGTGTTAGGGAGCAGGGTTTCTCCTTCTGGCCTCTCTAGGCCCCAGCTGTGTGGCTTTGCACAAGTTGCCTGACTTCTCTGAACTGGTTTCCACAGCTCCACAACAGAGATGATTGCATCTGCCTCTGCCGTTGTCATGAAGATTAAATGTGAAAGTCCCTGGCACAGGCTCAAAAACCCAGGCTGCACCTTCCCATCTTTCATGTGCTTTCAGAGTTGCAAACGAACAGTCCTGGGGGCAACTACCTTGAGCCCCCAGGAGGGTCCTGCCCTGGCTCGCACTGTGCCAGGCAGACATCAGCCACTGACTGTGCCCCGGAGCGTGCCAATGTCAGCCACTGTGCCCTTGAGCTTATCTCCAGATTGGATCGGGGTGCTGGTGGGCGCACTGGGAAGGGGGCCCTTTGCACTGCTTGCTAATTAGAGGGACCTGTGAGACCCTGCCAGGGCCTGTGCAGATGTTTCTGTGCATGGAACCGTTTTCTGCCTTTCCCCTGACTGCTTTGTGGCCACTCCATCCTCATCCCCGATCTGCCTTTGGACAGAACAGCCTGTGTCCATGGGCCTGTGTCCATGAGCCCGTGCCCCCCAGTGGCTCCCTGCATCAGGGACTGGCTGGCTGAGAGCGGCCCCTGTTTGCACGTGGTCCTGGCGCACACCCAGACTACAAGGCTTTGCACCTGGGGGAAGTGGACGCCCACACCGGCCAGGCCCCCCCTCCCAGAGCTGGGGCACTGGGACCTTCTCCCAGACCGCTGAGGGAATTCCAGCGGCTGACATCCAGATGCTGGGGCTAGAGGCCCGAGAATGTCCCCCGACTCTTTGCCAGCCTTCTGGGGGCAGTGGCAACGGCCAACATGGGCTGACCACTGTCCCTGCCACAGCTGAGCAGCTCCTGTTTCACTCGTGGCTGAGCTCCCGGTGCAGGAATGGGCGCGGCCCCCACTGAGAGGGCAGGGGAGAACCCGGCACTTAGCCTAAACAGGCTGAGAATATGGGAGGCGGAGGGTGGGGAGATAGCACTCGGAGAGGCCCCGGGGCCCCAGGGGGCAGTCGGGGGGCTGTTAATGGGGGATATGTGGCCTCCCTCATCACCTTCCGCCGTCCTCTGTCAGAGACGGATTCAGAAAAGCTCCTAAGAGGACAGTTAGGGCTGCATCTTCTCCACTCTGTCCCTGGGGTGACGTGGGGAGGTGACTGCTTGTTTGCAGAGGGTTCTCAGCATAAGGCACTGACCCCTGTGTGTGACCACTGCCAAGGACATCCGTGGGCACCGGCTCCTGAGACTTTCCCCGCCCCCAGCTCCTTGGGAGAGGCCCAAGGGCCGGTCTCCAGAACTCAGAATGATGGCAGCTGCCGAAGGCCTCAGGGGGCATCTTCCACCTTCCGATGGGAAAGTGGGACTGGGGGACGTCTAAAGCCAGCTGTGGGAGGCCACGTCATGCTTGGCCCTCTGCCCGTGTTCATTCTCATAACAGCATTCTTGGCCCGATCATTTGAGGTCACCCCTCTGTGTCTTCCTTGCGAAATGGTTCTGGCCTCTGAGCTGTGACTGGCTCATCGGGAGGAAGGATGGGGTGGGGGTGGGGGGGGTGGCGGGTAATCAGTCACACTTCAGCCAGTCAACAGAATACCGCACGGGCATAGAAACCGCCAGAGGAGACCTCTGTGCTCTGACGTGGCACGAAAGGGAAGTTGAGGGATGGTCTGATCGCGTGTCATTGAGGCAGTCTGCACATGTGTGCATCTCGTGTCCCATCTGATCGGAGAGACACCGGAGTACTAGCAGGTTTTTCTCGGGTCTCGGGAGAGGGTTCTTCTGTGACACAGTGACCAGGGACACCTATGGCTGTGGCCTGCTGTTGCCTGGCTTTGCGCACAGCCCACCTCCCTGGGGACTAGGCAGACACCCACACGCCATGGCCGAGCCTTGCAGTCTCTGTATTCTTCTGAGGAGGCGTAGGTCTGAAGGGGGGTTGAGTTGCATGCAACCTGGTGGCCCTGAGGGACAGGTGAGGTCATCTCAAGGAAGAAAGAATCAGAGGTGCCAGTAGGTCTTTTGCCCATGGGTGAGGAGGCCTCTCCACTGTACCTCTCCCCCCACCCCCCCCCACACACACACATCTCTCTCCCTTGCATCATCAGTATTTCCAAAGGCCTCTACCAGTGCTGGGCAGGGGATAGGGGCCCACCCCCAACATTACTCAGCTGGTGATGTGGGCCTATTGGTTTCCGTGTGTGGGCATGGCAGTTGGGAGGGGCTCAGACTGCTTAAACCAGGGTTGCTGGGGGTGCTAGGGCCCCACCTGACTGTGCTGGGGGCTGGGCTTGCAGTGCAGGAATAACACTGGGGCCTCAGCCACATGGGCCCTGTACTCCAAAGGCTCTTAAGCTCACTCCCTGGCCTGCATCATCTATTACTTGGGATCCCAGGGCGAGGAAGCACATCACTTGGATAAGCTCCCACCCATGAACTGATCCAGCTGTTCTGATGATGGCCTCAAGCCCTAGAACAGGGGAGGGAGATTTGCACCTCGTTCCTCAAACTTGATATCCTTGAGTGAAACGGCCCTTTACAATAAAGCTGCCACTTTCTCTCAGCTCTAGAGTTCCTTAAATTCGGTACTAACTATGAACAAGTTGGAACTTGATGTTTCCACTTCTGCTCGCAGTGGACACGCCCACGTATCCACTCGCGGTGGGGGCTCTCCATCAGCCACAGCGTGCTGGACCCGTTTCCTGCCTGACACATTCAGTGGAGCGTTGCACAAACTTTATGCCAGGGTGCTGTGACCCTGAGGCGGAAGATGGGGTGAGCAGATAGATGCCCACTCCTAGGGGGCCAGACCTCACTTAGCACCCCAGAGACTCCTGGAAAGGGATTTTGTGGAGGGGACCCCCAATTCTGGGTTCACACGAGGGCACCTCAACTTCAGAGTTCTTCGTGTTCTCCCATTCACCAAACGGGGATACTTATTACCCCCAGAGCGTCCCTGAACTGGCTACCCCCTCCCCATTCATATTCCCGCCTCCTCCCCGTCCACTCCCGCCTTGCCGAGGGCAGTGCGGGTCCTGACCGTGTCCCCCTCTGTTCGCAGGTGGGACACTCGCTGGAGCCGGCCCCAGCATGCTCGCAGAGTGTGGATGAGCCGCGGCCCAGGCCCGGATGCCGCCGGCCCGCGAGGCCCGCACGGCGCGCTAGCCCGCTGACCCGGGGAGCGGAGAGGACGCGCGGGAGGGCGGCCACGGCGCAGGGGCCCGGGGGCCGGGGCTCGGCGCGGCCCGGGGCCACCCTCACGCGGCGCCTGGGCAGGATGACCAGCCTGTTCCGCCGGAGCGGCGGCGGGGGCGGTGGCGGCGGCGGCGGCGGGGGCGCGGCGGGGGCGCGCGGGGGCGCGGCGGGACCCGGACCCCCGGCCGCCGCCGCCGCCGCCGCCGCCGCGCAGGAGCTCAACAACAGCCGGCCCGCGCGCCAGGTCCGCCGCCTGGAGTTCAACCAGGCCATGGACGACTTCAAGACCATGTTCCCCAACCTGGACTACGACATCATCGAGTGCGTGCTGCGCGCCAACAGCGGCGCCGTGGACGCCACCATCGACCAGCTGCTGCAGATGAACCTGGAGGGCGGCGGCGTGTACGAGGACAGCTCCGACTCCGAGGACAGCATCCCCGTGGAGGTAGGCGCAGTTGACCCCGGGCCGGGCCTTGGGGGTCCGGGTGGCGGGGAGGGGGGGCGATGGGTGGCGTGCAGGCGTGCGAGCCCCGATTCAGAGATGATGCTGGTCACAGTTGCAGGCCTGCATCCGCGGGCACCAGCATCACGGCCCGCGTTAAACAGATGTGCGGGCGCGCGCGCGCGAGAGAGGATGAGAATACAGGGGGTTAGGCGCTTGCTTTGTATGGGACCTACTTTGGTTCCATCCCCCACACATGGACCCCGGAGCACTGCCAAGAGTGACTCCTAGAGCACAGAGAAAGGCGTATGCCCTGAGCACCACCAGGTGTGGCCCCCCAAACGGAAGCAACAAAAAGTGTACCCCTGGGACACACACAGGGAGGTGGGGGGAGAGAGAGAGAGAGAGAATAGAGATAAGGCCCCTGCTTTGCCCATGGCAGACCTTGATTCCATCCTATGGCCTCTGAGCACCAGAGGGGTCAGTCCTGAGCTCAGATCCAGAAATAGCTCTAGAGAATCTAGTAGTCCACTTCAACCTCAAAAGAAAAATTGGGGGGGGGGGTGAAGAGTGGCCCCTAGGGCCAGGGATGAGGCTGCATGGGGGAGTAGGCATCTCACATGGCCATAGACAGGTGGGGGGGAGGGCTGAGCAGAGTCCCCCACCCCCGTACACCCAGTGCCAAAAAACGTAGATATCTGGGCCCTCCCCAGTATAGTCCACTGAACCCCAGTTCCAGGCTGACACTTCTGGGTGTCCAGAGGCGGCGACGGTCCTCCCAGACTGGCTCTCAGCCCACGAGTCAGGCAGAGTCATCCAGGAGCAGAAGGTGCCAGAGGGGGGCTTCGTAGGGCAGGGGCAGGGGCGGCTGACGAGGGAAGCGAGGCCGAGTGGGCAGGGCGTGAGCTCGTGCAAAGGCGCAGTGTGCACCAGTCTGCGCCCATCCTCAGAGACCTGGACACCTGCATGGAGCTCCACAGACACCTGTTCTGAGAAGAGTGGGCGGCGTCCCCGGGGCTCGGGGAGCACAACCGAGTGACCTCTGATGGGGCTAAATCCCCTCCCGAGGTGTGCTGGAGGCGGTGAGCAGTCCCCGAGCTGTGCTCTGGGTGCAGGATGAAGGCTGGGGGAGGAGCACCCACCTTCTGGCCCTTACCTACCGTAGTTAAGTACCCCGGGGGGATCCCCTCCCCAGTCTCTGCAGCGGGCACAGCGCACACAGCTTCCCTCTCTCCTGTGGGCTCTCTGGGCCATGCCCCCAGGGACGAGACGGAGCCAGCTCAGGACCCTGAGCTCCACGGCCATGGCACCGGGCACCCTCATTCGAGGTTCAGCTGGACTGTGAGGTGGCACGTGGTCATCCTGACTCCCTTCTTTAGAGGGAGGAAACCTAGACCAAGACCTCCAGAAGCTCTCCACACCACCCTGCCTGCCGCTGTCTACCCCTATCTGTGCTCCAGCCTCTTCCTCCCCTCATGGGGCAGCCTGGGGCTTCTCTCCAGACACTGGGGCAGCTCCAGGGGGCAGAAACATCTGGCTCCATGACATGTCCCCTGAGGCCCTCCCGAGAGAGTCCTAGCACACAGCAGAGGCAGTGAGTGTGTGTGGATTGAATCCATGCTGCTAAAGTCTCAGCACGGATTTTTCTTTTCTTTTTTTTTTTTTTCTTGGTGGGGGAGCCACACCAGGTGATCTCAGTAATTACTCCTGGCGGTGCTCTGGGGACCATGTGGGATGCCAGGGATCAAATCTGGGTCAGCTGTGTGCAAGGCAAGTGCCTTCCTTACCTATTGTCCTAGAGCCCTAGCGTGGATTTCTTTCGTTTCCTCTCCCCGGACCTGGCCCACTCCTTCCGTCTGCCAGGATTAGCTAGAGGAGGGAGTCTTGGGATTCCCCAGTTCTGGAGGGTGTGCTTGAGAGGGGGTGGGAGGGGATACATCCTTTAGGTGTGATACGAAAGGAAGGTTCTCTGTGAACTTTGGCCCCTGCCACGGGCATTTTTGCGTGCTCTGCAGTGGGGGGTCCTGTCTCCTGCTTTGTCTGTGCCCTTGGCAGACCTGGGAGCCTCCTGGGCTGCCCCACCCCCGACGCGGGCCTGTGCTGTGTGTGCTTCTGCTTTTCTAAGAATCCTGCATTCCAGAAGGAGCCCCTTCATGGAAACCCCCGCCCCCCTCCTTGGCTGTTTCCCCGGCCTCCCACCTTTGGAGTGCTGCCTGGGCCCCTTGGCAGACAGTGCCTGAGCCAGCGAAAGTGCAGTGGGAAATTGATGGGCAGCACTCTGGAATGGCGAGAGCTGCTGACTGGGAGAAGCCTCGCTCAGGGGGCTGCGGGTGGGGGTGCCGTCATCCCCAGCCCAGTCCCGGGCCCCCCGGCACCTGGCAGGCATCCATCACCACATGGAGTTAAGCCAGGAGGCGCAGAGCTGAGCCCTGCAGCACCTAAAAAGCCACAAGAAATGGCCCCATTGAAGCCGGGGTGGCGGAGCCCCAAAACATAGCCGGGGTGGCCCTCCCTGGAGACCAGGGCAGACTTCCCGGAGCGTGCCTGGCTTGCCGCCCGCCCCGGCCTTTCCTCATTCTGCTCCCAAAGCTTTGCTGCCTTTGATTCCCTACCCCGGGGGGCTGCGGCGGGGGTGTGGGGTTGAGCCAGAGTAGCTCCCAGGGGGGCAGGGTGGGGGGGGTGTTACGAGGGCAGGCCACCATCAGATTCGGGACAGCTTCCTTCCAAGAGCGATTCCTGCTCAGCTCTCCCCTCCTTGCCCGTCTCGCTGAGGTCAGCCTTGGGGGGTCGCTGCGAGGGAGGAGAGGGCCTCAAGCCCAGCCTGGCCCCCGTCCCTCAGAACAGGCGCTCCGGGGAGCAGAGCCCACAGTGGGGGCGCGAGCAGGAGCATAACCCACGGAGCTCCCTCGCGCTCCTTTCCCGCTGCCGGTGGAAATCTGGGCTAAGCAGAGCCGTGGCCTGCAGCATTCTTCTTCTGCAAGAGCGTCTGTTAAATGCTTCTACCTCAAAGGAAAGAATGTCAGCGCATTCCGGGACAGGGGGCCTCACTGGGTCAGGCTGCTGTTTGTGTGGGAGAGAGAGAGAGAAAGAGAAAGAGAGAGAAAGAGAGAATGTGTGTCTGAGTATGTGTGTGTATGTGTGTGAGTGTGTGTGTATGTTGTGAGTATGTGTGTGAATGTGTGTGAGTGTGTGTGAGTATGCGTGTATAAGTGTGTGTGTGAGTGTGCGTGTGTGTGAGTGTGTGTGAATGTGTGTGTGTGAGTGTATGTGTGTGTGTGTGTGCGTGCGCATGTGTGGGCATCTGTGCACTGACGATGATCACTGAGCCCAACCCACCCCAAGCCCTGAGCCCAGGCTCAGGCTCAGGCTCAGGTCAGAGAGTGCCAGCCTAGCCCAGGCTTGCAGGAGGCAGCTTAGTGGCCTCAGCAGACTCACTTGGGGTTGAAATGTGGGGCTGATTAAGAGCCTCTGAGCCCTGGCCTTGTTCTTTGGTCATAGGGAGGAGGGGAGCAAGGGGAAGGAGAGGCAAGCAGGCTGTGTTTGGCTTGGAGTCTCCTGTCTGATGGCTGCCTCCTGCCCCATCTGTGGACCTTTGGGGAAGGGCCCAGGTCAGTCCAGGTAGCAGGAAGCCAGGTCAGCAGAGGAGGAGGAACCCTTGTGGAGAACAGGTCTAAGTAGACGACTCGGTTCTAGAAACAGTGTGTAGGGCAGAAGAAATAACTCTGGGGCGCGACGCTCGCCTTGTCTCCACCAGCCCCAGTTCAAACCCCTGACACTGCTCCTGGTTCCCTGAGCACCACTAGGGGAGACGCCTGAGCACAGAAACAGGAGTAAGCCCTGGGCACTGCCGGGTGTGGCACACGCCCACCTACTGCAACTGAATGTGTGGTGTCATTCAAGAAGCCTTGTCAGCCTGGCCTCATCTGTAAAATGGGAACCATCCTTTGCTGCCTGCCAGGCTGGATGAGATGAAGTGAGATCACGTGTGTGGAAAAACTCTTAAGAGACAACATGAATGATGCTCAGGTTGTTGTTTTTAACCAAAAGTAACACATGGGCCCGGGGAGAGGGCTTGAAGTGCTGTGCATGTGCTGTGTATTAAAGAGTCCTGGGTTTGGGGGGCAGAGGAATAGTGCAGGGGGTAAGACACCTGCGTTGGATATAGCTGATCCCAGTTCATACCCCAGCACAGGATCCCCGAAACACCACCAGAGTGATCCCTGAGCATAGACCCAGGAGTAAAACCCGAAGCACCACGGGGTGGCCAGAAAACCAAACAACAATAGGGGCTCTGGTCTGATGCCTATTGCCACCTGGTCTACTGAGCACTACTAGTGCTAGCAGCAGCCCCTGAGCACTGAAGAATAAAGGAGAGAGGGAGGGAGGGAAGAAGGAAGGTAGGAGTCCAGATGTGCAGTTTCACCAGTCCCCAGGTCAAAAAGCATCAGCAGAGGCTGGACCAATAGTACAGCAAGCAGGGCACTTGCCTTGCACATAGCTGACTCAAGTTCGAGCCCCAGCATCCTGTATGGTCCTCTGAGCACCACCAGGAGTAATTCCTGAGTGCAGAGACAGGAGTAACCCCTGAGCATCGCCAGCTGTGACCCAAAGCCAATAATAAAAAAAACTCATCAACAGAGCCTGCAGTTCCCCACCCCCTCCCCACCCACCTCTCCAACCGCTTTTCTAAGTAGCTCAGACTTAAGTCACTCGGATTCTTGTCCCCTCACCCCCCCATTTTTTCATCTTTGAGCCACACCAGTGGTGCTCTGGGGATGCTCCTGCTTGGTGCTCAGGGACTGGGCAACGTGGGGGACTGAGGCAGGGCTCAGGCTGCAGTCTCTGGAGCATCTCTCTGGCCTGGTTTCCCTTACTTTGGAGTTTAGGGTGGCTAGTCCTGCTCTGAATATGCCTTGGGCGACTCGCACTCTCCTGTGTGTTAAGTAGCTTGGTTTTTTTTTTTTTTGGTGTTTTTTTTTTAATTTTTTTTTTTTTATGGTTTTTGGGTCATACCTGGTGATGCTCAGGGGTTGCTCCTGGCTTTGCACTCAGGAATTTCTCCTGGAAGTGCTCAGGGCACCATTTGAGATGTTGGGAATCGAACCAGGGTCAGCTGTGTGCAAGGCAAACGCAGTACCCGCGGTGCTATCGCTCTGGCCCCGTGTTAAGTAGCTTGGATGGACAGAGCGGCCGTAAAGGTAGCCATGCCTTTTGCTTCAGTATGTGAAGCCACAACAAGAGTGCAGAGTGGGACTTGCGTGACCTCACATGCCCCCAGCGAGGTGGGAGGGATCTCTGGCTCCACATCCTTGCCCCTACCCTTGCTTTTGTCTGGCTTAGTTCAATTCCAGGCTGTCTTAGTTCAATCCAAATGTTTTGTTTTGTGGCCACACCTATTGATGCTCAGGGGTTACCCCTGGTTCTGCACTCAAGAATAACTCCTGGCGGTGCTCAGGGGACCATATGGGATGCTGGGGGTTGTGGAAGGCAAACACTCTTTCTGCTGTACTATGGTTCCGGCCCAAAGGCAGGCAATGTTAACATTTCTCTCTCGCTCTTTTTTTTTTCCTTTTTGGGTCACACCCGGTGATGCACAGGGGTTACTCCTGACTTTGCACTCAGGAATGATTCCTGGCGGTGCTCGGGGGACCATATGGGATGCCGGAAATCAAATCCGGGTCGGCCGCATGCAAGGCAAACACCCTACCCTCTGTGCTATTGCTCTCTCTTTAATCATTTGTTTTTGGGTCATATCCCGCGGTACTCAGGGCTCAGGGGACAATATGGGGTGCCGGGGATCAAACCTGGGTTAGCTGTGTGCAAGGCAGGTTCCCTACCTGCTGCTGTATTCTCGGTCAGGCCCCACCATTTCTCTCTCTGTTGTCTCTGATACAGATCTTGGAGAGGACTTTGGAGCCCGACAGCTCGGATGAGGAGCCCCCGCCCGTGTACTCCCCGCCAGCCTACCACATGCACATGTTCGACAGGCCCTACCCACTGGCTCCCCCCACGCCACCTCCACGGTGAGGGCCCACCTGTCTCAGTAGGCGGGGGGTGGGACGGGGAGGGCTGGGGGCGAGTAGAAACAGCAGGAAACTAGGCTGGACCCCTCTGTGTGTTACTATACCAAAAGTGGGTTTCTGGTGCTACCAGAGATGGTCTCTCCAGCTTTCCAGAACCTTCCAGGGCACAGTGGTAGACACGCCTCATTCACGTGAGGTCTTCTGATTATGCCTGGGAACAGCAGCAAAAGTGGTGGAGGAGGGATTGTGAGAACAAACATCCAGGCAGTCGCTACTTTATGGAGATGCCATGTGAAATTTGGTAAGAGTCAGGGAAGTGAGGCTCAGCGTCTCCTGGCCAGGGGCCTGTGGGATGTGAAAGAGAAGCAGTCCGTGGAGGGTGGCCCACACGGTGTGTTCTCCCCACCTCGCACTCCCCTGGTCCCCAGGACTGAAGGAAGGCAATCCTGTTTCCCATTCCTGCCCCAGGCGGTTCGGAAGCAGGGGGAGCCCGCAGTCTCTTTGCTCCGGGATGGTTTGCAACGCATTCCTAGAGGTGTGTTCCGAGTCAAGCACGTTATAATTTGGGGGTTTATAATAAACCCAGGGAGTAAGGTGCTTGCCTTGCATACAACCAACCCCAGTTAGTTTGTTTTTTTTTTTTGCTTTGGGATTACACCCAGCGATGCTCAGGCCTTACTCCTGGCTCTGGACTCAGGAATTACTTCTGGCAGTGCACAGGGGACCATATGGGATGCCGGGAATTGAACCTGGGTCGGTCTCGTGTAAGGCAAGCGCCCTCCCCACTGTTCTATCTCTCAAGCTCCATCCAACCCATTAGATCTCTGATACCACAGTATTCCCCAAGCACTGCCAGGGGTGACTCCTGAGCACAGAACTCGGAATAGTCCCTGAGCACCACCAGGTGTGGCCCAGCCCAGCTGGCCCTGGGGCCCTGGCTCAGAGATGCTGTCTTCTCCTGGTTCCTCACTAGATGTGGTTGAGTGGGCTGGGGCGGCTTCCTCTTGGCCAGAACACTGTTTCTCAAAGTGGGCAAGTCCCCTGGGGGTGTGGGATCAGCCGCTGGTACTCAGAGAAGTGAGGAATCGTTTTCTCTTTACATACAGAAGGTAGATTGGGGGCTTGGAGGGGCTGCTTGTGTTTCTTTTTCTGAGAATAGGGCGACAGGCCCAATAAGTTCGGAAATCTCTGTCCCAGGGGAAGAAGAGGTCAGGGGGCCAGAGAGATGGTGCAGTGGACAAGCCCCTGCTTTGCTTGTGGCTGACTCTTGTTTGAATTCTCAGCATTGCATATGGTCCCCCGCCCACACACACCACCAGGAGTGACCCAAGTGCAGAAATAAGCCCTGAGCACACCCAGATGTGGGCCCCAAGCCCCGCCCCCGCCCCTCAAATAAATAAAAGGGGGGTCAGGGGACTGGTTCCAGTAGGTTATTCCTTCTGGGCATCCTGGGGGTACCCCAAGGCCGCAGTGGGGAGCCTGCTGCCATTCAGGTCCGTGTCACTGAGTGCTCTGCCAGCCATGGGGGCCCAGCCCCAACATGTCCCATTGTTGGACTCGCCAGGATACAGACACGGTGGCCCCTTCCCTCCTCACTTGGAGAGGCTGGGCAGCGGCCCCGGGGTTTCCCACCACCCTGCCTCGGTGTCCTGTGGGGACACCGAGAGCAGCTCCAGAGCCAGTGCCCCCCCCCCCCGCCCCCAGCCTGGGCAGGGGCAGGGGCAGAGCGTGGATTGCAGGGGACAGTCCTTGATGAGGTGGGGAGGGAGGCGGGGAGTTGCGTGCAGAGTGAAGGCTCTGGGAAGGAAGGGTCACAGCCCTGTGAGTCAAGCGTCTTCTCTTTTTAGTATTTCTGGGCACTCCTTGGTGTGAGGCAGAGCGGTGCTGTCTACTTCTCAGAGGCAGCGCTGCACTGAGGCTGTAAGCAAGCGAGCATGCTGGAATCCACGTCGCGCCCACCCCCTCTCGCCCTTACTCAGCTTAGCTGCTCAGCTGCTGTGAGGTGAAGGAAGGGCTGGGCCTCATCCGGACGGGCACCCCAGTTGGGCAGAAGTGACCTCCGCACTTGGTCAAGGCTTGGGAGGTCTCGTTCGGACCCTGTGACTTCAGGCAAGGGAAGGTCCTTGCCTGAGCTCCCGGGCCCGAACCGGGAAAAGAGAACTTGAGTGGTGCGGCCCAGCAGAGGCGGAGTGCGTTCCCTTTCCCGCCTTCCTTCAGCTGCCTAACTTCTGATTCTTTAGGTGCCTCTGCTGTCTGGCCTCGGGCTCACTACTTAACCTCTCTGAGCTTCGCTTGCCTCATCTGTGAAATGGGAATACTAATGCCCGCCTCTGCACTGTTGTGAGGATTGAATGAGATGTTGTGTGTGGAGCCCTTAGCACAGTGCCAGGTATGGACCAGAACTCAGTCGGTGCTTTGCTGCGCCTTCCTATCCCGCGCTGCCTGCTGAGGTCAGCGTTTACTTGGGCTAGGGTGACACTTGCAACCAGGGCCAGTGTTAAGAGCCGGGCCTGCCCTGAGTGGCGCCCCTCCCCTCCAAGAGGGACCTTCAAGACCCAGACCCCCTCCCTCGGCCATGTCCAGGGCCTCCCTCAGTCTCTGCATCCCACGTTTACTGAGTCACCTGCGGTTGTGCGGGTGTGGAGCTGCGGGTGCGATGTGGAGGGATTCAGCCCTGCCTTGATCAGAGATCAGAGGCGGAGGGAAGACCCGGGGCAGGGTGCCAGGAAGGCTGCCTGGAGGTACTGGTGGGCACACTGGGCTGTGAGGCCATGGGCAGGCAGATGGCAAGACACACAGTAGCACATGTAAGGCCTGGAGGACCCCAGGGTGGGGCTGGACCTGGGGATAGCGAGGACAGAACTTGGGGAGCTCCAGGAAGAATCCGTCATACTGAGTACGTCTTCTGAGGAGCCTGACCTCGCCCCGGGGGCTGAGGGTGGACAGTGCTGTGAGCAGGGCCGTGTTCCGGAACATTGCAGAAGTTTCCCTCTGACTGTGGGGTTTGGGGAGGAATGGGCCTTGGACTCTGCAGTTCTGGGAGCCTGTGAGACATGGAACAGGGACCAGAGGTGAGATGCAGTGGGGGATGGTTACTGGACCTGCTGGCCCTCAGTGGCCACGTCTTCCACCTGAAATCGTGCCTGGCAGGTTTTTTCTCTGAAATCCTTCTAGGGATGTGAGGGGATAATGAGGTTTGGGGAGTGCAGGGCTGGAGGCTCTGGGCTGGGATGGCCCGAGAGGCTCTACTGAAGGTCAGAGGGACGCTCGGTGCTGCCCCCTGCTGTCTCCCCCCCTCCCCCCTTGAAACCACAATCCTGGAAGGTTTTGCTGGCCCCTCATTGCAGACATTCCTCAGTGACCACAGCCATGCAGCCTGGGCTCAGGCCTCCCACCCCCGCCCGGGCGCGGGCAGCTGTGGGCTGACCTCATGTGGCCGCTTCGCCAGCACCAGAGAACCCTCGCGTGCGCCGCGGAGACCCAGACTTGGGCTCTTCCGAACAAATGGGTGCAGGGGTTCAGGGTGTGTCTGGTGGTGCGGGGGAGGGGTGCCCAAAGGAGGACTTTGACCAGGATGCCTCCAGGCTGGGGTCCATCAAAGGTGGGCCTCAAGCCCCCTAGCCCACCTGGTCTCAGACCAGGGAGGGTGGCGGGAAGAGAGAAAGAGAGCAAAAATGAGGCCTCGGAGCTTTCCAGAACCCTCTTCCCTGGCGCGGGCCAGCTCAGAACGTGCGTCTGCATCTCTGCACGCGGCCCGGCCCGGCCTGGGCTTCCCTGGGCGCCCGGAGGCCGGCACTTAGCAGCTTGTTCCACCGGCTGCTGCCGCCCTCAGCCGCTCCCCCTCGCCCCCGCCAGGCCACCCGCCCAAAATAGAAAAGGAAAGGAAGTTATTTCTATAGTCGGCAGCCCGGAAAAGCTCCCTCCCGCGAGGGGGCGGCGGGATTCCTGAAGCACGAGCCCGAATCAAAGCCTGGTCTGCGCCCCCGCCCCACGGCCGCTGTGCGCGGGCGTGTCCTTCCCCCAGGCAGCCGCGCACGTGGCCTGCGGTTGCCACGCAGAGGGGCTGCCCAGCCCAGTGCAATGGGGGGGAAGCTGCTGCCCTGCGCCCAGGGGGGTCAGGAAGGGTGCGTGCTGCCCTTCCCCCTCCCCAGCCACAACACACAACACTCCCCACCCCCTGCACCTGCACACCTCCCCAGGGCGCACCTCCGGGGGACCTGGCCACCAGGGAACCCAACTTTCCTCTGCAGCCCCCAAGTGCGGATCGAAGCCCTGAATCACAACCGGGTTCCTCACCCGGCCTCACCTGGGGCTCCTGGCGGCTTGGCCAGGAGGCTGCAATTTCTTTTTCTTTTTTTTTTGCTTTTTGTTTTTTTGGTCACACCCAGCAATGCTCAGGGGTTACTCCTGGCTCTGCACTCAGGAATTACTCCTGGCAGTGCTTGGGGGACCCTATGGGATGCCCGGGATCAAACCCAGGTAGGCCGTATGCAAGGCAAATGCCCTACCAGCTGTATTATCGCTCCGGCCCCGAGGCTGCAGTTTCTCCGTGTGGAAATGGAGCCCACTCCCCTGGAGAATGCCTGAATCTGGGCTGCCCACTCTAGCCCTGACAGACCCACATTCAGGGCGATTGCTCCCTGGGCTCACACCTGTCCCCCAGCTGCCATGGGTGTTGGGGACACCGTAGAGAGGCATGCAGCTCCCCCTGTCTGGAGAGGAGCCTCATAAACATCCCTGTCTAACTCCACTCAGGGCCCAGACATGGCACAGCGGTTTATACTGCCTACCCTGCACATGGCCCACCTTGGTTTAATTCCCAGCCTCTGGCACCTCTGGGTGTGGCCCAAACGGGCTCCCAGGCTCAAATAAAGAAACCCACTGGGCCCAGCCAGAGCGAGCACCAGGACAGCACTTACTGGGGTCAGAACCAGCAGAGCCGTGTGCTCCTGGCTGCAGGGGTGAGACCTGGGTGAAACCTGGGTGAGGGATGTGAGGGAGCTCTTGATTCATTGGATGCAGGCCCTGGGATCCAGGGGGGCGGGCAGGATCAGGGTCCTACGTGGGATGCTGGCATGGGGGGCTGGGACCCCCGGGTCTTAATTTCCAACTCACGGTCGCCTCTCTCTCTCCAGCATCGACCTGCAGAGCTGCGGACCCCCTTCCAGCCAGAGGCGCTACAGGAACTGGAATCCCCCCCTGTTGGGTAGCCTCCCCGAGGACTTCCTGCGGATCCTCCCTCAGCAGCTGGACAGTGTCCAGGTAATGGGGGGAGGGGAGGGCTGCCCCCCAGCAGCTCGGTTGGTTGTGCGGTCAGTCAGTCAGAGCCAACCAGTTCGGCTTCCCTGGTGTCAGGGGAGGCTGAATGACTTCCCTGGCCTCATTCAAAGTGAAAGATAGGCGGATGCAGAGCTGCAGTTCCTGCCTGCGCCTGGCGGCTTCCTCTTCCAGCGAGGAAGGTGACAGCTCTGAGAGGCTCTCTGGCTGCCACTGTCACCCCAGGCTGGCAGGCAGCGGGGGTGGGGATCCCTCTCCGCCTGCCCGCCTGCCCGTGACTGGCTGCCACATCCCAGTTCCCTCCCTCGCATGGACCAGGGTTTCCCTGAGGTGGCTGGTGCAGGAGAGATCTAGGAACCAGCCGCAGCTCTGAGCAGTTTGTGGTCCTTGTTGGGATGCGGGGGTGAAGGGGGCTGCAGGTGGAGGCGGGCGGAGAGTGGTTGGATGCCTTTTGCTGCCCACTGGCCGAGGGGTTCTAGCAGATCAGGGTGGGTTTGGGCTGACCACTAGCTCCCTGGGCCAGGTGCAGGCCCCAGGGTGCCCCTGGAGGACCCTCGGAAAGGTGTGCCTGCCTGTGGTGGGGCCATGCCCTTACAAATAGGCCCGAAACATGCTTGTCCCCCCCCCCCCCACTCCAGGGCAGCGCTGGGGGCTCCAAGCCCAGGAGTGGAGAGGGAGGCCCAGGGCCCCGCGACCAGGACAGCCGCTGGAAGCAGTACCTGGAGGACGAGAGGATCGCGCTGTTCCTGCAGAATGAGGAGTTCATGAAGGAGCTGCAGCGGAATCGCGACTTCCTCCTGGCCCTGGAGCGAGGTGGGGCAGGAGCACAGGAGCGCCGGGGGCAGGAGGCTCTGTCCTGCTAAGACAGGCCCACCAGGCTGTCCTCAGGGAGCCCCAGAGTTTGGAGGGTCAGAGGATCTGAGAGTCACCGCTCTCCTCTCCTTCCTGCTCTGCCCCAGGCTCTGGCCTTGGAGTAACAAAAACAACGGGGGGGCCCCCCGGGGTGCCTCCCTGGGTGGGGGTGTGAGAGCAGGGGCTTGAGGTCTGGGGGCCTGGACTCTCTCCCCAGCTTGCCTGCCCTTCCTCTCCTTCAGGATGAGGGTATGTTGGGTGGGGTAGAGTGAGAGGGCTGAGAAGCCTCACACGTGAGGGAGGGCATGTGAGTGTGTGTCTGTGTCAGTGTAAGGGTTGGTGACATGAGTGTTGCATGTGAGTGTGTATGAGAGTACAAGAGGGCAGGTGTGAGTGTGAATGTTATGTTTCTGTGTGTCTGCTGTACGCTGGGAGTCTGTTAGTGTGTCCCTCTGGTGTGTGTTTGTGGGTGTGCCTCTTGTACTGTGTGAGTGCATCTCTGTTGTGTGTATCTGTTGTGTGTGTGACTATTGTGTGTATCTGTGTTGTACTATGTTCAGTGTGTCTGTTGTATGTTTGTGTGGAAGAGAGAGAGAGAGAAAGAGAGAGAGCACGCAAACACGCTGAGGTCACGGCCACAAGTCAGCCTGGGCAGCAAAGGGCCTTTTCCCTGGTACAGGAGGTGGACTGCCCATCTCTCATGTCCAGGCAGTTGTCAGGGTGGGTGTTGAGCTCCACACAGTGAGTCCTCTGAGAGTGGTGGACATAGTGAACTCTCACTTTGTGGGTCCCCGGGGGCTGTGGCCTTGGCCACCTCCTGCTTCTCAGCTCGGCCGGCCATTGAGCGTCCAGGCGCTGATCTCCCTGACCAGGATGTTGCACTTTCCAGATCGATTGAAATACGAGTCCCAGAAATCCAGGTCCAGCAGTGTGGCTGTGGGAAGTGACTTTGGCTTGGCCTCTGCTGTCCCAGGTAATGGCGCCTTCGTGGTGGAGAGGTCTGGGGGGGACAGGGGCACCACCCTGACTGTGCTTGGCGTATGTGGAGAGCAGGGGAGGGTGGGAAGCTTAGGCCCCACCCACCCCCACCAGATCACCGCGGTGAGGTGACCCTCCATGCAGCAGCCCTGGCTTCTTACCAGCCCACGCTGCCTGGAGCCCCCTGTGCCCAGTGTCCCTGGGAGGAGGGTGTAGGAAGTATTCTGTCCTCAGGAAGCTTCCCGTCTGGGGCAAGGGCGGAGATATGGCCGACAAAGTAAAACAGATCTATAGATGTGAGGCGCAGATGTGTATTAAACAAATGTGTGATGAGAAGGATAGGACTCATCTGGGAAGGGCCCATTTGCCCCTGGGGTCATTCATTCGCTAGCGAATGTCTCCTCTGGGACAGGCCCTGCCCGAATATTGGAGAATTTTGAATAAGGTACAAGAAGCAAGAATTGCCTCCGAAGCAGGCCAGTTCTGGCTCAGAACCCTCCTTGGCTGAAGAGGATGGGGGGGGGGGGGGGGGGGAACAGCAGCTATTTGGGGGTGGGGCTTGAATGGGGTGGAGCTAAAGCTGGGAAGAGGGGCAGAGGCCAGGAGACTCATCCATGGACCCAGCTTTTGTGCACCAGTGTGTACCACAGACGTTATCAGCCTGCACCACCCCCGCACACACCCTCTGTCCCCCCCGCCACTAGCCAGACCTCAGAGGAAGTACCAGATGCTTATGTGCCCAAGAGAGCTTCTCGGAACTGGCATGGGGTTGTGGACACAGCGACTGGGCATTGGGCCCATCGCCATCCCGAGAGAGAAGCTTCCAGGGAGGGGATTCGTACTTGACAGGCGGGGCGCCGCGAGGCATGACCTCCTGTCCTTGATCCTGGAGGAGGGCGTGACACCAGGGCTGCCCAGATGGATCAGAATAGCCGGCAGGGAGTGACTTGGCAGGCAGGGACTGGCTGCTTTGCAGGATGCACAGCAGGGGCTTTGGGAGGCCACTGGGGGGCTCCAGGGGGTGCTGAGTGAGCGGGAGACCGTGGCGCCCCTCTGGGACGGGCCCTGCCTTCACACCCACCGGTGCCTTGTCTCACAAGTCTGAAACTCCTTAGCACTGAGTCTGTCTGGCGAGGTTCAGTGCTTGCCCCTTTGCCCGCAGCAGCTGTCTCAGTCACCTCTCACTGTGGGGGTGAGTGGCAGGTGCCAGGCTGGTGACTTTTTTTTTTTTTTTGCTTTTTGCTTTCTGGGACACACCTGGCGATGCACAGGGGTTACTCCTGGCTTTGCACTCAGGAATTACCCCCTGGTAGTGCTCAGGGGACCATATGGGATGCTGGGAATCGAACCCAGGTCAGCCGCGTTCAAGGCAAATGCCCTACCCACTGTGCTATCGCTCCAGCCCCTGGGCTGGTGACTGTTGAACAGTCCCTTTCGGGATCCCAGGGGCGGCCCCGTGCAGGGCCTGGCAATTGATTCATGAGGTGTCAGTATTCCCATGGTGGCTGATTCCGAGACAGCTCAGGGAACTGTGAAGGGTTCGGGAGTTCTCCCAGGGAACCGGCTGTGCACAGATGCAGTGGGGCTCCCTCCCTTCCTGGGGGTCCTCCTCGCTTGGAAGGAAGCGCCCTCCTGCTTAGGAACCGTCCTGCTCCTTCCCAAGTGGAAGGCAGGGGCTGAACCCAGCCGCCAGGGGGCCGCCCCTTCCCCCCACCCCCTCCTGCTCACCCGACCCCCCTTCCTGGGGCCTCAGCACCCACCATTCTCCCTCTGCTTCCAGGAGCCAGCGACGCCAACCCCAGCGCGTCTGAAGATGCCTTGTTCAGAGACAAGTTGAAACACATGGGGAAATGTGAGTCGGGCCCGCTGCTTGGCCCACTCTTGGTGAACCCAAGAGCCGTTTTCATCCCAGCCCGACCCCCCTCAGCCCTCCCGCCCGGCTTTACTCCCCACAGCTGAGTCTGAGACAAATTAAGTTTTAAATCCTCTCGGGCCAGCTGGCTGCAGAACGATCACGTGCTCGCCGCCGCAGTTTTACTGTTGACAGACCGTGTCCTGCTGGGGCAAGTGCAGGGACCCCCCTGCCCCTCCCCCCCCCCCCCCCCCCCCCCCCGTGTGCTTGGCCTGCTCTGCTCGCCTGATGCGGGGCAGGCCTGAGGCCGCGGCTCAGTGACCTTTTCCACCGAGTCCCACTTGCCTCCCGGCAGACACGCAGCCCCGGGGGCACCAGACGATCTCTCCCGGCTCCATTTCAGGGAAAATCTCGGATTAGTCATGGAAATCCCAGAACGGGCTCTGGAGGGGGGCCTGGGGGGGGAGATGTGGGGTACACAGCCAGCCGACAGGAAAGCCAAGATGCCTGTTACGGGCGGGGGCAGCCGGGGTACCCGGATCTTGGGCAGCCGGCAGCCCGGCCTGGGCCCTGCTCCAGGTGGCCTGTGCTGCCCCTACAGGCTGACTCAGGATTGCAGCCTGCCGACCTGGCCAGACTTACGCTGCTCTTCTCTAGGACCGCTCCCCCACCCCCCCACCTTCCCACCCAACACCCCCCACCCCCCACCCCGGCTTCCTGGGCTAGCATCTCTCTGGTGCTCACGAGTGTCTCTTCCCCCAGCCACCCGGAAGAAGCTGTTTGAACTAGCCAGGGCCTTCTCGGAGAAAACCAAGATGAGGAAGTCCAAAAGGAAACACTTGTTGAAGCATCAGCCGTATCCTTTCTGGCGTGGGGACTCTGGAGCCCACTTTCCAGCACGTGGGTGGCCTTGTCTCTCGGACATAGTGGAGGTGGGGGTGGGGGTCGCCGCACCTCAGGATTCCTCCTCAGGGTGCTGGAGTTGGCCTCGAGCTCTTTGATTGCCTCTGGGAGGGGGGAGGGATGCTCAGCCCTCTTGGCAGAAGACCTGGATCAACCCTGGAGAGTTTTCTCATTTCTCTAGTGCAGTTTCCCTCCCCCAGGGGTAGGCCCCCAAGGTACTGACAGGTGACATGGGGGAGAGGGAGTGACACAGTGGGAGCCTCAGGGACAAGGGGCCAGGGACCACTGAAGGACACAAGGTCAGAGGGGGTGCACTTGGCAGAGGAGTCATGCTCCTGCTGGACAGTTGTCTGCGTCGTGCCTCCTCGGTCCCAGTGCCTTGGCCCCACCTTTCGTGTTCAGAAGTGAAAAATAAGATTTCCACTCCTCGGTTTTCGGACCACCGTTAGCAGTGTGCGGGGGATGAGTGGGTGCCGGGGGTTGGACCCAGGCCTCCCACAAGCTCTGTTACGTGCTCATCAGCCCACTCAGGTGCCTTCACCCTCATGGTCCGTGTTTTAGTTTTATTCATTTTTTGGGTTTCTGGGCCACACCCAGAGGTGCTCGGGGTTGCTCCTGGCCCTGCACTCAGGAATCACTCCTGGTGGTGCATGGGGGACCCCATGGGATGTCAGGATGTCGGTCGGCCACGCACAAGGCAAGCACTCTCCCGCTGTGCTGTCTCTCCAGCCCCCGTGTTCCCTGTTTCCACTCAGCCCATCCACACAGTTCTGACAGTGCCCAGGACACACAAAACTGAGCAGGGGGAAGGCCACTTCACTGTCCCCAGGTTACGGGGGGTTGAGAGTCGGGTCCTGACTGTTGAGCTGACCCCAGGAAACGGCTGGGGCGGGGTGAGGGGTGGCAGAGCCTGTGAGCCCCAGGGTGGGGAGCGGGGAGGCAGGGGCAGGAGGCCGGGACAGCGCGGAGACAGCCGGTTCCCACCCATGCCCGGGACTCTCTTCCTGAACAGCCCACAGATTGGGAGCTGCAGCGTCAACAGCCAATCTCCTGGACGACGTGGAGGGCCACCCCTGTGGTGAGGGGACATCCTGGGTGGGCCCATGCGGTCATGGTGGGGACCCCTGATGGACAGAGAAAAGGGGCCTCCCATCTGGCCCCCAGTATTCCTTACTCCCCTTTGAAAGGTGCCCTGGTGGGCCATCCACTCTGGCCTCTCACAGCGCTGCAGAGCCAGGTCCAGTTCCAGGCTGGGAGGCGGTAGATAGGCCTCCACGCAGGGAGGGGGACAGCTGGAGAAGCAAGGACTGGGCAGGTCCCATCCGGGTCTGCAGCTGTGAGCTCGCCTCCTTTCCTGGGGGCCCCCCGAGCCTCCTGCCACACAGAGGGTTCTGTGGTGGCCAGGCTGCGCCCGGAAACAAGGGCTCAGAAGAGCGTCGTGGGGGTGGATTGATAGTACAGCGGGTAGGGCATTTGCCTTGCACGCAGCCGACCCGGGTTCAATTCCCAGCATCCCATATGGTCCCCCGAGCACCGCCAGGAGTAATTCCTGAGTACAGAGCCTGGAGTAACCCCTGAGCATTGCCAGATGTGAGCCAAAAACCAAAAAAAAAAAAAAAAATAAGAAGAGCGTCGTGCGTGGCTGTCCCGTGGACACTCTGCTTCTCTGCCCCCCTCCAGAGATGCAGGGAGATGCTTCCGGGTGCCTGCGGAAGGATGGAGCTGCCCGACACCTCGGCGTCCTCCTCCTGCTCCGGGCCTCCTGCATCTCCTCCAGGCACAGGCGTGCACCCCCTGTCCCCTCCCCCCCAGCAGAGCGGGGCACAGGGAGTTGGCACCAGGTCAGGTCGGGACAGGCCCGAGCTGGCCGCAGGCTGCAGCTGAATCTACTTCCCTCTGCTTTTCAGATGAGGACTCCCGGAGCAGGCGACAGGAGGGCCCCAAGGCGGAGGACAGCCTCAGAGAAGGGCAGTAGGAGGTAAGGCCTGGCTTCCCGCTACCAGGGGCCTGAGACACTGGGCTCAGGCAGCTGGATGGCACAAGGTGTGGCGTTCTCCCCTGGGGGCTCTGACCAAGGACATTAGGATTCTTATACTTGTGTTTTTCTTTCTTTTTATTTTTTTTTTTTGTTTTTTGGGGCGATGCTCACATGGGCTTACTCCTGGCTCTGCACTCAGGAATTACTCCTGGTGGTGTTCAGGGGACCATATGGGATCCCGGGGATTGAACCCGGGCCCACTGCGTACAAGGCAAGCGCCTACCCACTATACTATCACACTGACCCTATTTGGTTTTTTGTTTGTTTGTTTGTTTTTTAATGGGAGACCTCTCAAATGGTGTTCAGGAGGCCCAGCCTTCACCTGCAACTATTAGCCAACTAGCTGACAGTTTACAGGGTGCCAGGGAACTGCGTGGTGCCGGGGATCAAACCAGGCTGACCGTATGCCAGGCCAGTACCCAAGTCCCAGACTACTTCTCTGGTACCTCTGTTACTTGCTGCTTTACTCATTTGACAAAAGATCATCAGACTTGCACATGCCAGGTACTGGAAGGGTTGGTGAGGGAGGCGGGAATTAGCTTTTGACCTTGAATAGTTAATCAGTTGGGAAGGCAGTCAGGGACACATCCAACAATCCTACAGGGAGTATTAAAGAAATCCCGAGGAAGGGGCTGGAGCGATAGCACAGCGCACAGCGGGTAGGGCATTTGCCTTGCATGTGGCCGACCTGGGTTCAATTCCCAGCATCCCATATGGTCCCCCGAGCACCGCCAGGAGTAATTCCTGAGTGCATAAGCCAGGAGTAACCCTGTGCATTGCTGGGTATGACCCAAAAAGCAAAAAAAAAAAAAAAACCCCAAAAAACAAACCTGAGGAAGGGGCTCCTGGAGGAGTTGGACAGGAGGAAAAGCTAGCCCCTGAGTACCCAAACACCCTCCTGCTCCCCAAACAAAGAAAATTCCCAGGGTCACAGGATGCTCAGCACATGTTCTGCCTGCAGGAACCCTGGGTTTGATGACTGGTCCCCTCTAAACTTGGCTGGGAGCAGCCTGGAACCACCCACAAAGGAAGGCTCATCCCACAATGCTCACGTAGCCTTTGTCCCATGCCTGCTGGGGGAGGGAGGGTAGGACCAGCCGAGGCCATCCTGGTCTCCCCCACTGTGCTGTCTGCTGCTGTCCACTGCACTGTCTGCTGCTGTCCATCCCAGGGTCAGCGCGGGCTGTGAGGCTTCCTGGAACTGCCCATGGGACCCAGACGGCTCCCTGGCAGACTTCAGAGATGCTTGCCACCCCCAGGCAGTTTCAGGGAGCCAGAGCACCCAGATTGGGGCCAGGCACAGTAAAAGCACCCTTGTTGCCCCAGCCTGGGAGGCTGGTCTTGAGGAGCTGCCCTCACACTCACAGGGGCCCCTCACCAGCTCCACCCCTTCCACTCCTCCCAGGGAGGAGCCCCCCTGCGCCCCTAGACCCGCCCTCCGCTGCCACCCTGCTCTGCCCTGTCCAGCCCCTTCCTCACAGCCTCTACTTCCTCCTCCCCATCTACAAAACCACCCTCAGCTTCTCCTTTCATGCCGACTGTCGGGACCACCCCCAGGCTGAGTCGGTCTCCTGCCATGTGCACAGACACCCCGCTGTCGGGGTCTTGGGATCCTGGGCCTCCTCTGTTCCTCGTCCCTCAGGCACTGGCCACTCTCCCTTTCGGCCCCCCTGAATTCCCTCTCCAGAAGCCTCCTTCTGTTCCCCTCTCAGCATCCGTCTCCCAGCATCAACACCCTTACTCTGTGCCCGGTGCAGTCCCCTTGAGCCTCAGTCTCTCATACATACTCAGTCTCCAGACCCTGCCCCTGGGCTCCAAGTGGTCTCTCCCAGCTTGGGGGGCACTGGGAAGACTGTGTCCTCCCCCACTCCCCGCTGCCACCCTCTGTCCTTCCTCTCTTCACCCAGCCCCAGAAATCAGGGTTTCTATCATTCCTTTGCTTTGGGGATTTTTGATGGTTGGTTTGGGCGTCCCACCTGGCAGTGCTCAGGGCTAACTCCTAGCTCTGTGCTCAGGGACCTAGGAACCATATGGGGTGTCAGGGATGGAATGGGGTTGACCACATGCAGACCACACCCCCTAGCCCCTGTGTGCTCTGTCTGGCCCTCTTTTGCTTCCTCAAGTCCTCAGCTGGTGTGTGGGGCCCACCAGGTCTTTGTCCCAATTTATTTTCCATCCAGCGGGCCTGCTGGGTCCAGCCCCTGTGAGCTGCTACAGGCAGCCCGTCCTCCACGGGTGCAGTTCAGGCCCAGCTGCTACAGCCCTGCTGTTCTAGGAGCTTGGGGGTGGGAGGGTGATCCCCGGAGGAGGAACGCTGACAGAGTCTCCAGAGAAGGAGCCGTATTCACCCCTAACAGCATCTGCTCTAGGTCACCTCCCTGAGAATCAGGGGGAGGGCCCCTGGGCTCTGTGGAAGAGACTTTTCCACACCATTCCCCCACCAGGTCAGCACCTCCTCTTCTCCGGAGACATCTGAGCTGCCGCCGGACAGATGGTGCTCGAGTACCAAGGCCCAGCGACTTCTCCGGCCTGCCCAGCCCAGACACTGCCACTCCGCACGGGGCTCAAGCTGCCGAGAGGACGGCTGCCAGGCACGGACCCCTGAGACCAGGTTGTTCTGGGGCAGTGAGTGGAAATGCAGGAACCACCCCCCTAAAACATCCCCAGGACTGGCCAAGGATGGAGCCCCATGAAGCCCCGCTCGAGGCTCTGCGCAGAACTGGAGCCCCCAACTCCCTGCCCCTCGGCTCCTGCTGGACCCTGGACACTGCCCGCTGCCCTCCCACTCACCCAGCTCCTGCGGGGCACCCGCCCTGTGCACTCAGCCTTGCCCAGGGCGCCTGGCATGGGGCTGAAGGCAGGGCCTGGGACTGCCTCCCTGGGATGCACTGGGGAACTGAGGGGCCAGCTAGAGAGCCGTCGGCTGGGTGTTCTGGTCGGGGCTGGCCTGGACCCCAGCAGGGATGGGGTGGCCCCCGGAGCTGGAGGGCCAGGGGATGCGGGGCTGGTCGTTTTAGCAGAAGCCGAGAGCCACTTCTGCAGGGACCGGAGGGAGGGCGGGCCACAGCCACTTCTGAAGGACCCTGGGCCAACTCGCTGGGGGTCCCCTGCCAAGGGCTAGGAGGTGGACTTGGGTTCTAGACCCTCACCTGTCACACCACTGCCAGCAAGAAGGAAGCAGCGGCAGGCTCCCTGCCCCAGAGCCGGGGCAGTAGGCGGTGAAAAGCAGCGGGTGGGGACCAGCAAGGCCCTGGGGAGGCTGAGGGCGTGACTCTGCACCCCCAAGAGACCCGTGGCTGTGGCTGGAGTGACGGAACTTGGAAGTGCACATGGGCAAGCCTGAGGCCGCTGCCCCTGCCCCCTGCTAGGTGCCCGGGGTCACCCTCACCCCCAGGGAGCCGGAGTTGGGGTTCAGCTGGATGGGGGAGGGGCCTCTGCACGAGAGAACCCCACCCTCACAGCTGCCTGTGTTGCTTTGTTAGTTGTCGGGTGGTTTTATTTTTATTGTTTCCTCTTCTATGTGTGGGTTTTTTTTTTCTTCCCTTGGAGCCATTTATAGGAATTTCTGTAATAAAGACTTGGTGTTCTCGTAGTGATCCAGTTTGGCAGAGCTGCAGTGACTGTCCCTGTCCTCCTGCTCCTCCTGCTGCTGCTCCTCCTCGTGCTCCTTCTCTTGGTGCTCCTCCTCCTCCTGTGCTCCTCCATCTGCTCCTCCTGTTCCTGTGCTCCTCCACCTGCTCCTCCTCCACCTGCTTCTGCTCCTTTTCCTCCACCTGCTCCTCCTCCCCCACCTGCTCCTCCACCTGCTCCTCCTCCTCCTCCTCCACCTGCTCCTCCTCCTCCACCTGCTCCTGCACCTGCTCCTCTACCTGCTCCTCCTGCTCTTCCTCCCCGTCCTCCCCCACCTGCTCTTCCACCTACTCCTCCTCCTCCACCTGCTCCTCCTCCTCCACCTGCTCCTCCTGCTGTTTCTCCTCTTCCTCCTCCTGCTCCTCCTGCTGTTGCTCCTCCTCGTGCTCCTTCTCTTGGTGCTCCTCCTCCTCCTGTGCTCCTCCACCTGCTCCTCCTGTTCCTGTGCTCCTCCACCTGCTCCTCCTCCACCTGCTTCTGCTCCTTGTCCTCCACCTGCTCCTCCTCCCCCACCTGCTTCTCCACCTGCTCCTCCTCCTCCTCCTCCACCTGCTCCTCCTCCCCGTCCTCCCCCACCTGCTCTTCCACCTGCTCCTCCTCCTCCACCTGCTCCTCCAGCTGTTCCTCCTCCTGCTCCTCCTGCTCCTCCTGTTCCTCCCCCTTCTCCTCTCCCTGGAGCCCTGGATTCCTGCTGGGACCCCCTGTCTCAAGCCTCTTCCTGTGCTCCATTCCCCACCTTGTAAATGCAGTGGCCACCAAACACCTGGGGGCTCACCCTCCACCCTCCCCTCCATGCCTGTGGGAGCTGACACCTGCCGCCCTGCTGGTGACCTCCTGACCTGAGGGCTTTGCTCCCCATGTCCCCTTCCTGATTACCTGGAGAAGTCAGCCGCTCCGCTGATAGACTAAGGCCACACCAGCTGGACAACCACAGCCAGTGGTTAGGACAGCCCCAGCGGTCACCTCCCTAAATAAACAGCTTCTGGAATAACGGGCATGGGTGGGTGGAGGCCTTGCAGATGAGCTCTCAGGCTGGGATCTTCCTGTTCAGGTAGCTCAGCTTCCCCTCCCACCCTCCCCGGCCAGCTCAGCAACTCCCCTCCGGCGCCAGGGAACTCACCCAGCGAGCCAGCAAGCCACTGCCATTGGCCCGGGGGCAGCTCTCCAGGTGAAAGTTCTCCTGCAACCTGCTTCATCGCCAGGAACCTCCAGGTGTTCCCGCCCACACCGTGTCTGGGCTCACTCAGGGCAACAGTCAGAGCCTCTGCTCTGCCCACGTCCATCTTCCAGCCCAGCGACCTGACTGCCCTGGACAGCATCTCCCCTCCTCCAGCCCAACTGAGAGAGGGTCCCCTGCTGGGCTCTGACCACCCCAGCCACACCTCGGTGCCTGTGAAACTGCTTACCTGACAACTGCAACTGATGAGACATGGGACAGCAGCTCAAACAGGCCACCGAGCCACCGTGCTGTCCTCTGACCAGGCGCCTCACCTGTGCTGGCCCAGTACCGTCCCTGGGGTGCAGCCCAGCTCTGGGGAGCCTTAATAATACCAGGCCGCTGCCCCTCCCCATACTCGAGTCAGACACAGCCAGGCTCACGCAGACACACCCTGCAGTTTCTAAAGGCCAGGAACAGGGTACCCATCAGCCTCCAGCCCTCACACTCAAAAGCATGTCTTGAGGGCAAGAGCAATAGTACAGCCGGTAGGGCGCTTGCCTTGCACGTGGCCAACCTGGGTTGGATTGCCAGCATCCCACGTGGTCCCCTGAGCCTGCCAGGAGTGATTCTTGAGTACAGAACCAGGAGTAACCCCTGAGCACTGCCAAGTGTAGCCCAAAATATACACCCCGAAAAATGTCTTGAGTAGCTGAAAAAAAAAAAAAGGACTGATGATCCACTAATCCCCCTATCCCCAACCTCCCCCTCAACACTCCCCCTTCCCCCTGCCCCCCTCCCCCACTAACAAGTCTGTCCTGGAAAAGCTACTCAAGTCATCTGAGTTCACAATGCAGTATTAGGACAGTGTGTGGTGGTGCGGGTTTCACATTAGTCCGACTATCCTCAAATCTGGACATGTAATGAGATTTAGAGATGACCGCTGGACTAGAGCCATTACCGACTGGATTCCACGGGACGTCAAAAGATCGCGCGGCCGCCCACCGACGAGATGGTCAGACTTCTTCGTCGAGACCCTGAACGATTGGTTTGAGGCTCTTCGTGTTCCTAGAACAAGCAGATGTCATTGGGCTACACTAGCACGTGACAGGCACGAATGGAGACGTTACTTGTGCCCGCTCGAGCAAATTGAGGAGTAACAGGATGTCAAGTGATCAAGTGATTCTCAAATCTGAATTCGCCTGGGATCCAGAACCTCGGCCTTGAGCCATGTAGTAAGAGACGGCAGAAGCCCCGCACCCATGCTCACCCGTGACAGCCACACCTCCACAGCCACACACTCAGGGTCTGCACTGTGGGCCTGTGGTACCGGGACCCTCAGGGAGCTTGTTAGAAACGCAGAACCTGAGGCCTGAGAGATGGTGCAGGGTTCAAGGCACTGGCTTGCCTTGCATGTGGCTGACCCCGTTTGATCCTCTGCACTGCATGTGGTCCTCTGAGGACCACCAGGAGCAATGTCCAAGCACTGCTGGACATGATCCAAAAAACAAAGGGGCTGGAGAGAGGGTACAGCGGCTAAGGGGCTTGCCTTGCATGCAGCTGACCTGGCTTTGATCCCTAGTACTTTGTAGAGTCCCCCAAGCTCTGCCAGGAGGGATCTTGGAGCACAGAGCCAGGAGTAAGCCCTGAGCACCACTGGATGTGAACCCCCCCCCACCCCAAACAAAAGCTAAAACAACAAGTGAATGAATGCTAAAATGTAGAACCTCTGGCTCAGAATTTCCGATCTGAGGATCCCTGAGGTACAGGTCAAACTTGGGGTGACATGGATGCACATTCAGGCTTGAACACCTGCCTCCGCTGGCTCTCACGTTTGCTGGACTCCGGGCTCCTTCCTGGTGCCCTGGTCCTCTTCCCGGACATGCTGGTTAATGGGGGCTCAGTTTGAGCCTAGAGTCAGAGACAAAAGCTCCTCAGGGCTTTTGCAGGCAGCAGAGTCCTGCAGAAGGGCCTGTCTGTGGAGGCGGGGCTGAAGCACCCACTGGGAAGAGAAGGTAGAGAATTACCAGACCCATGGGAACCAGGAGACGCAGCCCAGTTAGCCCCATCTCATTATCCCATAGACAGGTTGTGGAGGACCCTGGGTGAGGGGGTAGGGACTGTGCACCTCAGCCGTCTCCCCTCATGCTCCATGCCCACCTGTAGGGCTGGCTCCTGGGCTTTCCGGAGTGGGGTTCAGCCACTGTCTCCCACTGTGTTTGCTTTGGCAATCTCCTGGGCTCAGCCGTGACTTGAGAAGCAAAGAAGCAAAAGAGCTGGCCTGGTTGTTACTGTTCTGGGGTCAGTTGGTTGCAGCCCACTCCATGAAGCACCTGTAGGGGGCTGAGGCCAGGAGGGATGCCTGAGGGAGAATTGGGAGAAGGCGGCAGGCAGGCAGCTTGGGGCCAGGATGGCCTCGCTGCTTACGGAGTGTCTGCCTGGCACTTGTCAGCGCTTGTTCTGCATTGCTGGACACAAATCCCTCAACTCTGACAGAAGTTATGTTTTTTTTTTTTTTATTCTTTTTGGGTCACACCCAGTGATACACAGGGGTTCCTCCTGGCTCATGCACTCAGGAATCACTCCTGGGATGCCGGGAATCGAACCCGGGTCGACCGCGTGCAAGGCAAACGCCCTACCCGCTGTGCTATCGCTCCAGCCCCATCTGACAGAAGTTATGACTCCCCATATCAGGGAACGGAGGCACAGAGATGTCAAGCTTCTTAGTCTAAAAGACCCTAGGTAGTGTAAATTTGAACCCAGGTAGCCAAATTTGAACCCAGGTAGCCAAACTGTAGAGCAGGAGCCTCTACACTAAGACAGACGTGGAGTATAGGCACTAACACCTAGAATCCAGCCTAGATGCAATTTGTGGAGCACAGAAAGGCCCCTTGTCCCCACGTAAAAACAGCTCCGTGGTGGTGCTGGGGTCTGCATGGCCCAGAACTCACCTATTAGCAGGACCTGCTTTTAAAAACAACCCCTTGGCATTTGCGTTACTGCCAAAATTGCTTTTCAGAGAGAAACACATGACTCCTTTGCCCATTATCACAGCATAGATTAATTTGTTGGATTAGCTGCCTGGGCCAGCTGGAGGATGATTTGGAAATTTCTGGAGATGGGAGGGGTTGGGAAGGAGGGCTGAAGGGGCTGTGTAGATCTACTGCCACCTGGTGGTCATGCTGCGGAAGTGGCAGTCACTGGCCACTGAGATGTCAAACACCCATTTTCCCAGGGTGATATTTTGTAAGATTTGCAAAACAAAGAAATTTTTTTAGACTCCACAAAACCAGCATCATCATTTTGTCTAGAGTTGAGTGAGAATTCCTTATCAGAAGAAGAGACTTGTTTCAGGACCTCTGACCAAGAACTGAAGCTTGGTACAAGTTCAGCAGAAGCCTTCCCTGTCTCGACCTTCCCACAGCCTATCTGAGAGGTGGGAGCCACCCACCCAGCTTCCCCAGAGCTGGATATGGAACTTCCTCAAGTAGAAACTTTTCACACAAAAACAGGCAGCCTGTCCAAACTCAGGCCCCTCCGCAGATATACAGCACTGCTGTTAACCTGCAGGCTGACAAAAATGCAGTGAGGCCAGGGCTGGGGGCAGACCTCACGGGAGAACACGTGCCAGGCATGATTGAGGCCTGGCACCCCCCCCCCACGTGTCCCCTGTTGAATAAACAAAACAAACAGCTCCAAGCCTCCCCCAAGACTGATGAGTTGGAATCTGCATTTTCCAAGATTCTCCAATTCACTGTCACTATCACTGTCCTCCCGTTGTTCATCAATTTGCTTGAGCGGGCCCAGTAACGTCTCCATTGGAGACTTTGTTGTTACTGTGTCTGGCATATCGAATACATCACGGGGAGCTTGCCAGGCTCTGCTGTGCGGGCGAGATACTCTCGGTAGCTTGCCGGGCTCTCCGAGAGGGGCGGAGGAATCGAACTCGGGTCGGCCATGTTGGCTGCGTGCAAAGCAGATGCCCTACCCGCTGTGCTATGGCTCCAGCCCATGTAATTCAGGTTCACATTTAAGGATCCAGGGGCTCTGCCTTTCCCCAAAGAGGGACCCACACTGCCTCTGAAATCTCTGCTTTAATAGGGGTCTCTATAGGAGCCAAAGCGATAGTGCAGTAGGTAGGGTGCTTGCCTTGCATGCGGCTGACTGGGGTTCAATCCTTGGCATTCCATATATGGTCCTCCCAAGCCCTGTCAGGAGCGCAGAGCCAAGAATAAGCCCTGAGCACCACCAGGTGTGGCAAAAAAAAAAAAAAAATAGATGCTTGCTTCTGCCAGGGCCTTTGCCCAGTGATTCCAATTGGCCTGTAATTTCATAAGAAAAGGCTCAGCCTGGTCTGGTTTCCTTGGAGACAAATGCAGCCACAGGGAGACAGACCTCCAGGGCAGGTGCAAACACAACAGGCTTTACTTTTCTCTGCCCCAACTGAATTCTCCTTGGGGCAAGGCTGTCAATTGCCAAGGAAATGAATGGGCAACCCTAGGAAACTGCCTTGCAAATTGTTAGGTTTGATTAAATTGTAGGACATTAGTTATCTGCATCACTCGTATTTATTGAGCAGTTACCAGGCACCAGGCCCTGGTTTTTAAGCCCCCCCAGGTGCTAACTCTTCATCTCCTTGCAGGGGTATTCGGTGACTGCTACGTCATTTGTCCACTTTGCAGATGACTAAACCGAGGCCCGAGGCCCAGCTGTGAGCGAGAGACAGGGCATCCATAACAGGAAACCCCTGAGTGATGGAAGAGGGAGAAGGACCTTCTCCCCCACCTGCAGCTTCCTTTCTCTTGGCATGTCTGGGAAAGCTGGGTGTGTGCACAGCTGGCCGAGGTGGGCTCTGATCTATCACTGCGGCTTCACTTTATTTTTCTTGCTCTGATTCCCTCAAAAAAATGCTAAGGGCCAGCTGGGGACCAAACACCAGGCTTGGTGTGGGGAGGCAGAGATAAGTCTCAGTTCCTGCCCTCAAAGAAGCCAGGTCAGGCCACTCAGACAAGGAAACAGAGTCATAAAGCCGGGTGAGATAAGAAGAGGAGGGAGCGGCTGGCTTCATGTGCTGAGAGTGTGCAGGGCTGAGGCAGCACAGGGCGGGCCTGGGGAGTGGCTGGTTGGGCCTCTTTGAGCTTCTCCTTGTTCCTCACCCTCCTGGCCCTTTGTGCCGCATCCAGTGTTGTTTTCCGCCTGTCTCTTGTGGTGGTGTGGAAAGTCCTCCTGGCAGTGCCGTGCGGTGCCAGGGACTGAACCCTCGTCTCTTGCGTGGAAGGCGTGTGCTCCAGCCATGCGAGTCATCTCGCAGGCCCTGCTTTCTGCTTTACACTGTCTGTTTGGTTTTGGACCTCACCCAGCTGTGCTCAGGGCTTACTCCTGGCTCTGTGACTCAGGGATCATTTTTTTGCTGTGCTTGGGGGACCATCTGTGATGTCGAGGATCAAACTGGAGTCAGCTGCATGCAAGGGGAGCGCCTTCATCCCTGTAATATCTCTCTGGCCCCCTGCTTTCTTCTTAAAAAAAAAAAGTCAGAATGATAGTGCAGTGGGTAAGGTGTTTGCCTTACACACAGGGAACCCGGGTTTGATCTTCTGCATTATATTATGGTCCCCTGAGCACAGAGACAGATGTCCCGAGCGCCACTGGGTGTGGCCCCCAAACCACACCAATGGAAAGTGAGTTGCTCCCTGACGCTGACCCTCTGCCACAGTCCTGGCAGCGACTGTTCCATGGGCTGCAGTGGTTCTCACGCCCCAAAACTGCTCCACCGTGGAGCTATTCTTCATTTTGCCCGATGAAGCCTCAAGCACACGTGGAAGCTGGACCCTGTTTGCAAAGTCGCAGGTAAAGTATGGGGAAGCCATGAGGGGTGGCCTGGACCCCACGGCTAGTCACACAGGGGCCCAGTTTGCTGTTCCTGGACCTGAGCAGACTAAGGTGGGTGGTTAGGGAGGGGGACCTGTGACACGAGGAAGAGGACAGCTGCCCCATGCCACTGACACTTGTTTCTCTCTCCTCTCCTTGGCCAGAGAACCCCCGGGGCTGTGGATTCCCAAGGGTCAATGGAAACTTTCCAGCCCTGACACTTACTAGTCAGACTGGCTGGATGGTATCCCACCCAAAGGCATGGGCTGAAGCCCTAACCCCCAGTAACTGGCCGTATGGTTTGGGAATAGTCTGTCAAGAGGTCAATCCGGGAGGAGCAGGCCAGCAGGCTGGGTCTGAGAGGAATCTGACTTGTGTCTTCAGCAAAGGGAAGCCCAAAGGGAGTCCTCCCACCCCACGCTTTGTGAGAGGGAGAGGGGGGAGTTTAGGCATTGCTTGAGGTGACATGAGTGTCAGTGCCTTATGGACCGTGCAGGGGGACAAAGGCCGGGCCGGGTCTGGAATGGAAAACGTGGTCTCTACAGTCCCTCAGCTCCATCTCCTGCTCTGTGGGACTGTGTCATCTGGGGTGTCATCAGCCATCAGGGGACTAAACATTCCCGTGCTCCCGTGGGCAAGCACCGCCCCAAAGCTTGTCTGGTATGCCCACGCCTGCTCCAGCAGCTTCTGTTCCCGACCCCACTGACCGCAGTCTCAGAGGGTGGTCTGCTCAGTCTTGCTGCCCTACTCTTGGTCGCTGTCACATTAAATACATTGAAAAGGAAAACTCAAGACTCAGAGGAGACAAGCAAGCACTACAGAGACACTGCTTGCCTGGCCACTCCTGCCTGGTGGGGCGTTTGGGGTCCTGGCTCTGGGGGGGGGGGGGTTTGGGGACAAGCCCTTCTTTAAAAGCTGCTGATGGGAGGGGGGGCTTGGGAGACAGGCTGGAGTGGGAGTGAGGAAGTGCTCTGTGGTCTGGGCTGGCAGCAGTTCTGACTTGGACAGAATTAGAAACTTGTTAGTAGGCCTGGGAAGGCGATATTTAACTTGGGGAAGGGGGTTTGTTTGCTCTCTTCATAGGTTTGCTACAATAGCGTGGGGAGACACCACTATACCTAGTCTAGCCTGAGCTCCCCTTGCATTTCTTTTTCTTTTTTGGGGGTGGGGTGGGGACACGCTGCTTTGGGGTTACCCCTGGAATTACTCCTGGCAGGGCTCCAGATGGGACTCTGGGGATCAAATCCCAGCCAGCTGCGAGCAAAACAAACTCCCTACTGGCCTGACCTCTCTGACCCTGCATTCCCCTTTCTTTCCTGTCCCAGAGTGTCGAGGAGGCAGAGGTACAGCAGCCCTGGACCTCCAAAGTCCGCCTTGTCCTCCTTGCACCAGCTTTAGGCAAGGTAAGGAGGCTGGGCTGGAAGCTGGCCGGCCCCAGGCTTATCAGAGAAGTTAGTTAACTCCCGGAGGCGGCGGCGGCTTCACTTTCTCTTACACAAAAGGAGGATAATCGGCACTTTGTGAGAGGTGTGTGGATTCAGGAGATAACCATTCCTGCTCACCTGCACGCACCTTCCTCCTCCCCAGCTCCTTAGAGCCCCCTCAGGGGAAAGGGCTGCTGGCTGCTGGGAACCAAGTTTGCAGGTGATTCTCCTGGACGTGTAAGTTCAAGCACGGACACAAACTCCTTACAAGTTTACTCTCTAGGTAAGCAATGCATTTCTGATCCATTGCAAACACTTGGATAGGATTCCATGGACCCTGTTAACGCACGTTCCCAGCATTCGGTCCCGCAGCGGAGTAATTCCTCCCCCTCCCGTTGCTGCAACCACGACCCTCGCCAGCCTCCTCCTGAAAGGGAGTTTGCTGCCGAGACGGGCAAGGGGCGATGCGGGAATTCAACGGCCCGGGCAATTGGTCCCCAGGTCCGGGGATGCGCCTGGCTCGCCTGCAGGGAGGCTGGGCCCCGCCATCCCCGCCTGCAACCAAACGAAACGCGGCAAGACAAAAGGCGGCTCAGGGCTTACTTCCCCCGGGTGTGGGTTTTGGGAGGGTTTTTCCCTCCTTTGCCCGGCGCGCGTTTGTTGGTCCCGGACACTTTCACTTGGGAAGCTGTAAGGGAGGCGGGGCCGGGCCGGGCAAACCACCTAGGCGCACGTGCAGCAGCCGGGAAGGCTGGGGGGCGACCCTGTCCCCGAGTCCGCGACTCCCCCCGGCCGCGCCTCCTCCCTCCCTACTACCCCCCAGTCCCGCGCTGCAGCCCGGCTCACACGCAGCGAGGCGCAGAGGCTCGAACCCGGGGCCGGCACGTGTGCACTGCAAACGCTTTTCCCCACCGGGCTAGCTCTCGAGCCCCGGAGTCGGCTTTGTCCGACCAGGAAAAGATGAAAAGCACAAAACCAAACCAAGCCACCCAAATGCTTTCCTCCCCCAAGCTCGGCCATTCACTGCCGCTGCCGCTCCCGGCCTCCTTCCCGCCCTTTCGGCTCCGCGATCGATTGCTCCCGCCTGCGCCGCAGTGCCCGTTCGGCCCATCCTCTGCTTCTGTCTGACCGTGCGGGCGCCGCGCGAGCGGGGCCACTTCCGCTTCCGGTCGCCGCCGCCGCCGCCGCCGCCGCCGCTGCCGCCGCCGCGCCGCCCGCCATGGCCGGGAGCCGGCTGGAAACGGTGGGCAGCATCTTCTCGCGGTACGTCCTCCGGTGCCTACCCCCGGCTGGGCGCGGACTGCGGCTCCGGCGCCGCGCCGGGGGGGACCTCGCCGGGCGAGGCCTTCCCGCGAGGGGGCGGGAATCAGGGGTCAGGGGTCAGGCCCTGAAGCGCTGGGGTCCGTGCATTTGCGTGTCATGCTCGGGACGGGCTAGTTTGCGCCTCGTTGCCCCCCAGTGCGGGGGGGGGGGGTACCTAGGGGGCGGAGAGGCGGTGGGCCTGCCTGCAGTGACCTTGATGGGAGGGGTTGCCTGGCAGGGGACGGCCCTGCAGCGCGCGAGGTGGTTTGCAGGTTTGCAACTGGAACCCCTTCACCTCGACCAGGGGGTGGAGACCACCGCAGCCCGCTCTCCTTCCAGCTCCCAGTTGGCATGCTCCACGTTCCCACCCGCGCCTAGCCTGGGTCTGCGCCTGGTTTCGTCTTTTTTTTAATCATATTATTGTTTTTTTAGCTTTTTTGGTCACAGCCGGCGATGTTCAGGGATTCCTCCAGGCTCTGCACTCAGGAATTACACCTGGCGTGGCTGGGTGGGGGAGGGGGGGTCTTATATGGGATGCCGGGGATCGAACCCGGGTCGGATGCATGGCAAGGCAAACGCCTACCCGCTGGACTCAGGGCGTGGGCCCTGATTTCGCGGTTTAGACTTATTGCCATAACTGACCCCTAACCCGTCTCGTTCTCCCCCCACCCCTCCCCTTCCTTCAGGACGCGGGACCTGATTCGCGCGGGCGTCTTGAAGGAGAAGCCCCTTTGGTTTGACATATACGAAGCCTTCCCCCCGCTGAGAGAGCCCGTCTTTCGCAGGCCCGCCCTGCGGTATGGCAAAGCCAAAGCTCAGGTTCCAGAAATCTTCTACCAGGAGGATCGGATCCGAGCGTGAGTGCCGGGCCCGGGAGTGTGCTGGGCAGGATAGAGACGGGTGGCAGCCCCGACCTTGCTCTCCAACGCTGATCATTTCCCTAGGGTGCATTCCTCCCTCACCCCCCTTTATAAGCGATTTATCATTGGCTTACAAATACTATGCAATGTCAGGGTTAATAGTTTAATAGCCCCTCTTTAGCCGCCAAGTCCCAGTGCCCTCCCACCATGCGGCAGATTTCTGGGTTGTTGTTTTGGGATTATTACATTGGGCTATGGTCAGGGCTTACTGCTGGTTCTGTACTCAGGGATCGAGGCCTGGTGGGTCTCTGGGGACCATATGAGATGCCAGAGGTCGAACCCTGGTTGACCACCTGCAAGGCAAATGGCCTATCTGCTGTAGTATTGCTCCAGCCCCCTGCAGCAGATTTCTGGAGTGAACCCAGCTGAGTGTCCAGTCACTGCCCAGGGCAGATTAGGAGTTGTCCAGGGAGAGATCACCCGGCTCTTACTCTTGGGTATTTGGGGGTTGGCCACATCCAGTGGTGCTTGAGGGCTACTCGCAGCCCTTTGAGCTATCTCTCTTCTCACAATGCCAATTTTTGTTTTGTTTCATTTTGATTTGGGGCCACAGCCTGGCAGTCCTCAGGGTTTACTCCTGGCTCTGCACTCAAGACCATGCTTGGAGACCAAATGGGGATGGAGATTGAACCTGGGTGGTACCAGGTGGTATGCGATCAAGACAAGCACCTTACCTGCTGTACTACCTTTCCAGCCCCCAAATACAACTTTTTTGATCTTCCTTTACTCTTCTTTTCCTCCCCCAAACATAAGAAGGTACTTTTGGGGGGTTTTATTTTGGGCCGCATATGGCTGTGTCAGGACTTAACTCCTGGCTCTGTGCTCAGGGATCACTTCTGACGGGGCTTGGGGAACCATGTATGGTGCTGGGGCCTGAACCTAGGTGGATTGCATGCAAGGCAAGTGCCCTAACTGCTGTCCAGCCCTAAGAAGGTTCTTTATTGGTTTCTCAGGTACATACTTTAAAATTTTCTACAAATCCCATTTGAAAAATTGGCATCAGGTAACAGCACCCCCTTTTTAAATTGAGTCATCAGTTACAAAGTTGTTCATGATTGGATTTCACCCATCTATTCAACCCTTCAGTGTACATTCCCACCACCACTGACCTGTTTCCCTCCCACCTCCTCTCCCCCTGCCCCCCCCCCCCCACTTCTCTCTCTCTTGCTCTCTCGCTCGCTTACTCTCTCTCTCACTCATGCCTTTTTTTTTTTTTTTGGCTTTTGCTTTTTGGGTCACACCCGGCAATGCACAGGGTTACTCCTGGCTCTGCACTCAGGAATTACTCCTGGCAGTGCTCAGGGGACCATATGGGATGCTGGGAATCAAACCCGGGTCAGCCACATGCAAGGCAGACACACTGTGCTATTGTTCTAGCCCCTCGCTTTTTCCCTTTGACAAACCTTTTCTTGACCACATTCTTAATTCTCTGATGGCAAAACAGAGAAACTGCTGAGTTGTATTGTTCTCCTCCCTCCACTCCATGTTGTGCCCTGTGCTTAGGAATCTATTCATTGCTGGGGATCAAACCCAGGGGGCTCCCTAATGCCTAGCACGTGCATTTTGGGGATCTTTTTGATCACTCGGGTTAGTGTCTCCCCCTCTTGGTACCCCTACTATTCTTGGTGCCCTTCTCAGGGCCTTAGCTAGCAGTTAATAGCCTCAAACGCCTGGACTTTAGTAATAAAACAATTTTTTGGTGGCCACAGGACCACTGTGTCTAAGGTCAGGTGGAGCTTTGGCAGACCATATATGGTGCCCAGGATTTGAGCCAGGATTGGGCTGCTTGCAAGGCAAGTGCCTTAACCCCTGTACTGTCTCTCTGGCCCATCAATAAGAAACGTTTTGGGGGGACCATACCCTAATGAGTACTCAGGGACTGTGCCCAGGATGATTATCAGGGCATGCTCCCAGCAGCGGGTGTTCAGGTGACCATGGGGTGCCAGGAATGGATTCTGGGGTCTCTGCAGGCAGAGTATGCACTGCCAGCTCTTTGAGCTGCCTTCTTGCTAACAGACTTTTCAAAACAGTCTTGATCGTTGCAGTGCCATAAGATGGGGGGGAGAGCAGCTTCATGGGACTGTGCAGTGCGCTGGGTCTCCGGGAACCCTCTTCCTCATAGTTCTCACAGTGACTTTGTGTATGAGTGAAACCCTCTGGCCATTGTGTTGCTCTCCCTAACAACTTCACTACCTGTAATCATCTCTGGTTTCATCCTTTCTGTTGCAGAAGGCACAGTTGTGCTTTTCAATACTGACTGAATAGATTCCTGCTACTTTGCCAATTGATCGGTCAGTAGCTGATGGGCGTGGGGCTGAGGCCCTGTTTCGGGTGCTGTGAAGACTGTGGCTATAAATGCGGGTGCAGCGAATCTTCCTAGGGAATGTGCCCATTACTGTCACAACAACACCGAGGAGGGGACTGACAGGTCACGGGTGTGTGTGTGTTTGAGAGAAACAGAGAGAGACCTGGCGTTGGCTCACACTCCACTCCCACCTTGATTGTCTAAGTCATCTTCATACCGTTTTTTCCTAGCCGCTGCCCTACTTTGCATTCCCACCAACAGTGTGTGAGTTCCCTTTGCTTCATGCCCTTGTTCTCTTTGCATTGTTTTGATCTGGGCCCTTTTGGTAGGTGTGAGATGTGCTTTATCTTGCATTTCTCTAAGACTCAGATCATTTTTTTCAAATATCTGTGAGGCAGTCTGTAGGTGGTCTTTGGAGAGGTGTCTGTTTAATTTTTTGCCCATTCCTCGATCTTATTGATGTTGGGTTGGGTGAGTTCTCTATGTATTTTGGATATCAACCCCTTGTCAGATGTAAGGTATACAAATAATATCTTTCCAGTGCATAGGTGATTTTTTTTGTATTTTTGAGCTAGTTTCTTTTGCTGTGTAAGGGCCTTTTAATTCAGTGGAGTTCCCTATTTTCACTCCTTGTCGTTTGAGAATAGCAAACTTTTTGTCTCTATGGTGGGTGTAGCACTGTCATTTCATCCTTGTGACCTTAGGAATGAGGCCAGTCAGTGACTTGCAAGCTGCCCATGGTCTCTTAATTTGTGTGTGTGTGTGTGTGTGTGTGTGTGTGTGTGTGTGTTTGGTGTCTGTGTGTGGGGGGTGGATGTCTGGGCCACACTGGGCAGTGCTCAGGGCTTACTCCTGTCTCTTTGCTAGGAATCACTCCTGACAGGACTCGGGGGGCCTTATGGGTGTTGGGGATTAAACCTTTGTTGATTGCTTGCGAGGCAAGCTGTACTATTTCACCAGCCCTGAATTTTTTTTTTTTTTTTTTTTTTTTTTTTTTTTTTTTTTTGCGATACACAGGGGTTACTCCTGGCTCACGCGCTCAGGGGACCATATGGGATGCTGGGAATCGAACCTGAATTGAACCTGGGTTGGCCACATGCAAGGCAAACGCCCTACCCTCCGTGCTATCGCTCCAGCCCCTTAATTTGGGTTTTTGTGTGTGTGTGTGTTGGTTTGGTTTGGTTTTAGGGCTACATTTAGCTGTTCTCAGGGCTTACTCCTGACTCTGCTCAGGGATCACTCCTGGGTGGGGCTTGGGAGTTGAAACTAGGTGGGCCACAGGTGAGGTAGGCACCTGCCTGCTGTATTACATCTTTCCCGCCCCATAGGCATCGTTCTTTTTTTTTTTTTAATTATCATTGATTAATCGTGAATTACAAAGTTAGGTAAATATTCATGATTGAATTTTAGTTGTACAGTATTCCAACACTAATGCCTTTACCGGTATCCACTGCCCCTCCTGCCCCCTATGTTGTTCTTTCACCATTGATAAAGTATCGCTTCCTCCAATCCCCCACCCCCAGCCCTGTCCAAGCTTCCTGCTGAAGACGAGTTCTCATGCTCTGTTTCTCCTGCCTTTGGGCCTTTGATATTCCCCACGAAGTCTCTTTATCCCACATCTGAGAGATCATTTTGAGTCTGTCCCTCTCCTTCTGACTGATTTCACTCAGCGTGATACTCTCCAGATTCATCTGCAGAGCAGCAAATTGCAGGACTTCTTACGGCTGAGTTGCATTTCATTGTGTACAGATACCATATAGCTGTCATCTGTCATTCTTCATTATTCTTTTTTTTGGGGGGGTGGAAGGATTGGGCCATACCTGGCGGTGCTCAGGCCTCACTCAGGGCCCTGCTCTCAGGAGATACTCCTGGTGGGCTCAGGGACCATTTTTTTTTCCCTTAAATTTTTATTAAACACCATGAGGTACAGTTGTAGACTTACAAATTTTTGTGCTTGGGTTTCAGTTATACAATAATCAAATACCCATCCCTCCACAAGTGCCCATTCTTCACCACCAATGATCCCAGTAGCCCTCCAACCCCCCATCCCCCCCATCCCACCCTACCTCTGTGGCAGGGCATTCCCTTTTGTTATCTCTCTCCTTTTGAGTGCTGTGGTTTGCAAAAGAGGCATTGAGTAGCAATCATGTTCTGTCTATAGTCTACTCTCATCACACATCTCCCATCCTGAGAGGAACCTCCCAACACTCAGGGACCATTTTGGGTGCCGGGGATTGAACCCGGGTAGGCTATGTGCAAGGCAAATGTGCAAGAGCCCTGCTATACTATTGCTCTGCCCCCCCCCCCCCCCCCATACCTCATTATTCTTTACTTCATTCTTAGCCATGAACAGTAAGTAGTGACTGATACTATGGTGGTTGTATTTTCTAGGAAATTTTACTCAACCTATGGATCTGGTCAAAAAGCTCTTGATATGTTTAATCCAAATTTCAAGTCTTTGTGCCAACGGTAAGCAATTTTGCAAGTCCTAAGTTAATTAAAAAAAATTTTTTTTCCCCTTAGGTATTTAATCATCAGTTTCAGATTTCATTGAATTCCATTTGAGTAGAGAGATGTTTTTGCAGAAAGATTGTGGGGGGGTGGGGGTTGGAGTGGGGGGTTTGAACCACACCCAGCAGTGCTCAGGGGCTGCTCCTGCCTGCTCAAGGATCACTCCCGGCAGCAGTGGTGGGAACATATGCAGTGCCTGGTACTGGACCAGCGTCGGTCACATGGAAGGCAGATGCCTTAGCCCCTGTCCTGTGTCTGGCCCTCTGTAGGAAGATTTGTTAAGGAATTGTTTAGAGCTAAGCAGCAGGAGGTCTGGCTAACCCTGGATATACACACCTAAGATGTGACTGCTTGGAATTCCAGGTTTGTAGAGAAGTACACTGAGCTGCAGAAACTTGGAGAAACAGACGAGGAGCAGTTGTTTGTGGAAACAGGGAAAGCTTTGCTGGCAGAAGGTGTCATTTTGAGACGAGTCGGAGAAGCAAGGCTGGTGAGTATTTTGTTATTAAAGTGGTTGTTGGATGAATTGTTTGTCAGAAGTTAGAGAAAGGCTTGCTTCCCCCTCCTTGGTGCATGTTCCTGAACTTCAGGCTGATACTCTGAGATATGCTGGATTTTATAGCAATGACTGCTACTCAGAACAAGGAAGCTACCATTTGGGCTTTTGAAATTATGTTTCTGAGCCTCTCTACAGTTCAGTAGTAGGGCATTTTTGAATATGGCCAACCTGGGTTTGATCCCCGGCATCCTACATTGTTCCCTCAAGGATTACCAGGAATAATTCCTGAGTGCAGAACTAGGAGTAACCCCTGAGTATCACTGGGTGTGACCCCAAAACAAAACCAAAGAAACTAAAAATTGTGGTTCTTCTATAGAGATTTTAGTCTTTTTTTTTTTTTTTATCTAGATAGGGCATTTGTCTTGCACACAGAATTTTTTTTCTCAATCATAAAATCAAAAGTTTTATTACGTTGGGGCCGGAGTGTTTGCCTTGCATGCAGCCAACCCAGGTTTGATCCTTGGCATACCATACAATCCTCCAAGCACTGCCAGAAGTGATTCCTGAGTGCAGAGCCAGGAGTAACTCCCATGTGTGGCCCAAAAGCCTCCCCTAAGAAAAGTTTTTTAAGTTTATTTTTTCATTTTATTTAAATACTGTGGTTTACAAAGTTGTTTATAAAGGTAAAGGTAAAGGCCCTCCCGTTGATCGTCGATTTGCTCGAGCGGGCCCAGTAACGTCTCCATTGGAGACTTTGTTGTTACTGTGTTTGGCATATCGAATACTCTCGGTAGCTTGCCGGGCTCTCCGAGAGGGTCGGAGGAATTGAACCTGGGTCGGCCATGTTGGCCGCTTGTAAGGCGAACGCCCTACCGCTGTGCTATCGCTCCAGCACAAAGTTGTTTATAACACAGGTTTTTCTGTTCTTTGTTCTTTGGGCCATACCTGGCAGTGCTCAGGGGGTACTTATGATTGTGTGCTCAAGGATCACTCCTGCTGGGCATGTTGTCCAAATCGGCTACATGCAAGGCAAACGCCCTACCCACTGTACTATCACTCTGGCCCCATAATACAGCTGTTATGGGCATTTAGTGTTCTAACATAAATCCCACCACCAGTGTTCCAACACAATTCCCTCCACCATTGTCCAGCCCACTCACCTTAGCAGACACAAAATAGTTTCGCAACTAAATAGCTAATGGAATTATTAAAAAATAGTTTTTTTTTTCTTGATGGGTCACACCTGCAAAGCACAGGGGTTTACTCCTGGCTCTGCACTCAGGAATTACTCCTGGCAGTGCTTGGGGGACCATATAGGATGCTGGGAATCAAACCCGGGTCAGTTGCGTGCAAGGCAAACGCCCTACCCACTGTGCTATCGCTCGAGCCCCTAAAAAATATTTCAGTGAAAGAAAATTTGTGAAAACTTACATCTCACCACGAGGTCATTGAATCCTTATCTGAGGGTCACTCAGCTGTTGCTAGCTGAGCCTTCTGTGTTACTGTTTCTGTTTACTGAGCTCAGTGGGCTTCTGTGCTCCTTTCCCATCTGATTTTCTGTGCTCCTATGGGGCTGTCAGTAATGTGGAGTTGGGAGGCTCCAGGAACTCCAGGATCTTCAGACCTGGGCTGATGAGTTTACATGGTGGTGGTTGTGGGATGTGGATGTCAGGAAGCTTCCTGCCCCCTACTCGAGAAGACCCCAGAGGTCTCAGCCTGAAAACTGGTATATTGGAGTTTTTGTCAGTTTGGTGACTGCAGAAATTTGTTGAGAAGCAGCGGAGTTGGACCATTGGCCTGGTGGCAGCCGGGAAGTCGTGAGGAGCGGGGCTTCCACACAGCTGGGAATCAGCCTGCCCCCTCCTGAGTGTTCAGCCCGGAGACTGATGTACCTGTGAATTTTGGCGGCTTGGCTTACATCTTTTCAGAGATTTTGTCATGAATCTTGTCAAGCTGAGCCCTTGGATGAGTTTACATGGTGGCTGCTCTCAATCATAAAATATCTGAGTGATTAATACTACATTTTTGATGGTACTGGAATGTGTCTTGTCTTACTGGTTTTGGCCAGTAAATTGAGTGAAAACCCCGATATTTGCATGACGGATTTTTCTCTGATCTTCTATATTACAGGGAGGTGGTCGTGATTCCCGGAAGCAGGAACAGATAAGCGTTAAACCCCAGTCGGTGTCAGAACCAAACCAGCCTCTGACAGAAGAGCCACAGAAGCAGCAGCAACAGGCACCAGGAGAAGAGTCGAAAGGTTCTTCAGCTCCCTGAGGGACGCGGATACTGTGTATACCGATGTCCAAACTGTATTCGCTATGTGAATGTCGGACTATTTTTAACAGTTGGACTGTGTAAATGTTTCTTGCTCTCCAAGGCATTATGTTTGCCTTCTTGTAGTTCCTGTTTCTGGGGTGTCATAAAGCTCAGTATCATGGTGGAAAAGAAGCAGTTGTGTGAACTTTTATATTAGGATGGTATTAAATAAAGAATTCCCTAACTGCTAGAAAAGTAAATTTACTTTCATTTGGTAAATAACATGAGCAGACCTTACAGGGATTGTTTGAATGGGACTCATTCTAAGTAGGTTTGCTTCTCTGGTATGTTTCTCTCCTTCGGAACCGTTCGACTTTTCCTTGGACAAGCAGTGTATTTCCTTGCCAGGCGATTTTGCTTGCAAATCAACTTTGTTCTTTTTGCTACAAAATTCTGGATGTTCAACTTGAGAGACGCAGCTGATCCGTGCTTTGTGATAAGAATGCAGATCTAGGCTAGAGCGATAGTACAGATGTATGCGGCTGACCTGGATTCCATCCCCAGCATCTCGTAAAGTCCAACGAACGCACCAGAAATGCGTTCATTTTGTCATTTTGTCATTTTTTTCCTGAGTGTAGAGCCAGGAGTAACCCCTGAGCACCACTGGGTGTGACCCCAAAACCAAAAAAAAAGGAAAAGCAAAGCAAACTCATCAACTCATCTGTCGTTGACAGAAGCCAAAATGTTATTTACATATTTATTTTTGTGGAGCCGGGAATGGAACCCAGGGTGTCACAGACACACACAAACCAAGTGTACTTCGACTAAGCCACGTCCCCCCCTCCCTAAAATGTAATTTTAATCTCACAGATTCGAGTATGCTGGAGACAGTTAACAGCACGCACACATAGCAGGCTGTTGAGTAAAGATTTATTGAAGGAACAGTTCTATGCTGCTAACGACTGAATTAGGACGGCGTCTCCAGGTCGCTGGTTTTGTCAGTGGGGAGCCACTTCATTTCAAGGACGTCGCCACCAGCCTCCTGCCTTTCCGGTGGCAGGTGTGCTGACTTGTTATGCTTTCCTCATTTGCCTGCTTTTTACTGAAGAAAGGAAATAGTCCCCGGAGAATGAAGCCTTTGTGATCCAGCCAGTGGTTTTCAGCTACCAGTCATAAACAGCTTCAGAGATTGCTTACTTATTTGATTGGTTTTGGTTTTGGATTTGGGGGCCACATCCGGTAGTGCTTGGGGGTTACTTCACGCTCTGTGTGAGGGGTTGCATGTTGGTGCTGGTGAGATTGTGCAGTGCCTGGGATTGAACTGAGCTTGGCTGTGCAGGGGCCAGTGCCTTGGCTCCCATACAAGCCCCAGCCTGAGTTTCATCATTTTATCTTATTTTGGTTTGGGGGACACACCAGCTGTGCTCAGGGCTTATTCCTGGCTCTGTGCTGAGGGATCACTCCTGGAGGGCTTGGAGGACCATATGGGATGCTAGGAATCAAACCTGGGTTGACCCACATACTATCTAGCCAGATGCCCTACTGTGATATCGCGCCAGCCTCTAAATTCCTTATTCTATTTATTTTTTGCCTTTTGAGTCACACCCAGCAACCCAGAGGGGTTACTCCTGGCTTTGCATTCAGGACTTACTCCTGGTGGTACTCAGGGAACCGTATGGGATGCTGGGAATCGAACCCAGGTTAGCCGCGTGCAAGGTAAATGCCCTACCTGCTGTACTATTGCTCCAGAGTCTGAATTCTTTATTTTATTTTAAGTAAAAGTAGAAATGAATTTTTATTTTTTTTTATATTTATTTATTGAATCACTGGGAAGTTACAAAGCTTTCAGGTTTAAGTCTTCAGTTATGCAATGATCAAATACATTTCCCTTAAACAGTACTTATTTTTCATCACCAAGAACCCCAATATACCCCTCTGCCACCTTTCCCAATGCCTGTGAGGCAGATGAATTCTACCTAACACTCTATCTACTTTGATTACATTCATTATTTCGACAAAAGATGCGCCATTATTGTTTACAGTTTACACCCAACAATCAGAACAGCTGAAAAGGCATTGTGGAATAATTTGTTTTCTACAGTCAGTTATGAGAACCATATGAAGTCATGTGGCTGCAATTGCCGAATTTGGATTTCTGATATTTTACTTATTAAGCCTGGAGGTATTTCTGTCATGAGCCAGATAATTACGAGAATGGTATCTGTGGCTCTGGAGCCATAGCTGTGCTGGAGAGCCACTTGTGGGGGGCAACTCGTGACCTTGGTAGGGCGTGAAGGACGAGCCGGGAATGCCCCCTTCCCATGAGGTTTCAGTTGCCCCGTCACCGCCTGCTCATACCTGGCTTTCCAAAAAGCTCCGAGGAGGCCACCATCTTGCTGTCCAGGGGGAAAAAGGTGGAAGGGAACAACACCCTTTCCCTCCCGGGCAGGCATGGTAGCGTGGATTAACGCAAGTCCATTCACTTTTCTGCCTCAAGCTGCCGGGCTCTGCATTAAGTCCTTGTGCTTCTGGAGCCATGGCTGTGCCGGAGATCTGCTCGTGGGGGGCAACTTGTGACCTCGGTTGGGCGTGAAGCTGAATTCTTTATTTTAAAACCTGTGTAGGGACTGACACGTAGCTCTAGCTAAAGCATTTGCAGGCATGAGTTTGATCTTGAGTGTTTGCGTGCACGAGTATGGCTGTGGCACCTCCTTTGGGCCCAGCAGTTCTGTTATGTGAGATCCCTGTGCTGTGACTTGCTTCTATACATGCCACAGCCAGGTGAGTGCGAGCACCACAGCAAAGATGGGGCCTGGATGTTCAGTCAGGGTTCAGGATTGTGGCCCCTGGCAGAGACGTGAGCACCACAGTGAGCCATCGAGTGCTACTGGCACATGCCTGGCACTGTGATTAAAGGTCTGAGAGCCCTTGTGCAGGCATGACAGCCTGCTTTTTATTTGGGGGGGGGGTCACACCCGGCGATGCACAGGGGTTACTCCTGGCTCTGCACTCAGGAGTTACCCCTGGCAGTGCTCAGGGGACCATATGGGATTCTGGGAATCAAACCCGGGTCGGCCATGTGCAAAGCAAACGCCCTACCCGCTGTGCCATTTCTCCAGCCCTGGCAGCCTGCTATTTAACCCCAGTTGGCACAGCTGCATTGCGAGCACCACGGCCAACTGTGTGCCGCCCCCAAATCTGCAGGCAACATCGACAGGGAAGAGGAAGGAAGGAAAAAAATAATTGAGCTCATTCTGTTTTCGTGGGGCAGAGATCTTGGGGCCACATCTCACAGTGCTCAGGGCTTACTCATGGTTCTGTGCTCAGGGATCACTGCTGATGGCGCCTGGGGCGGACCCTGTGCAGGTCGGAATTGAGCCAGGGTTAGCCAGGTACAAGGCAAATGCTTTAACGCCTGTATTATCTCTCCACACTTAGCTCATTCTTTTTTGTTGGTTTTTGGGTGGCATCTGGCAGTGCTCAGGGCTTACTCCTGGTTTTGTGCTCAGGAATTACTGCTGGCAGGATCTGGAGACCCTGTCGAGTTCTGGGAATTGAACCTGGGTTGGCCATGATGAAGACAAACGCCCTAACTGCTGTACTAACTCTCTGGCCCCACCCTGTGCTCATTCCATATCTTTTCCCATTAAACTCAGAGTTACTCTAAGAGAAAATAATAGGTTTCTCTGTCCTGCACTTGTGTGACAGTCCCTTCTCTCTCCTGGTTGTTTGAGGCAGGGCCCGCCTGAGCCTAGGTACCTCCCTGGCACACCACGAGGCCACATGAGGCCAAAGTAGTTCTCAGCCGCTTCCCCCTCCTCATTCCTGATTTTCTATCCCTCTTGTTTGGGAATGTTGTATTTCTAGGCGGAAAAGTTCTTTTCATACATCAACAAGTGTCAGGCCAACATTAGGTGCCAAATACTGGCAGATCTTGGGAGGAGACCTAGGGCAGCTGGAAGAGAGATTTTGCCTCAGAGGAACATTGGGGGTCCATCTATATAAAGCTTAGACTTCCGGGATTTAAAAATGGCAGTTTCTGGGACTGGAGTGAGTACAGTGGCTAGGGTACTTGCCTTCATGTGGCCAACCTGGATTTGAATCCCAGCAACCCAGATGGTCCCCTGGGCATAGATGAGGAGTAAGCCTTGAGCACTGAAGGTGTAACCCAGAAAACCAAAACTAAAGGCGGTTTGTGGGTACAGCAGACAAGACTTGCCTTCCACATGGCCATTTCACTCAACCCTGGTTCGTTCTCCGGCACCACCAGGAGTCAAACCTGAGTTCAGAGCCAGGAACTACTGTGTGCCGCCATGTATGATATAAGCCCTCCCACTCCCCCATAAAAATAGTTTCTTTTCTATACTGATGAAATTTTTTTCTTTTGTTTTGGGGCCACACCTGTGGTGCTTGGGGTTTACTCCTAACTTTGCTCAGGAATTACTCCTGGTGGATGTGGGGGACCATATCGGGTGCCAGGGGAATCAAACCAGGGTGGCTGTGTACCAGGCAAATGCCATACCCATTGTATTATTACTCCAGCTCAATACTGATGAATTTTTTTGTTGTTTTTGGGCCACATATGTGATGCTCATAGGTTACTTCTGACTCTGTACTTGGGAGTCACTCCTGGCAGGGACCATAAGGGATGCCAGGGATGGAACCTGGGTTGACCTCGTGCAAAGCAAATGCCCTACCCACTGTACTATCGCTCTGGCTCAATACTGATAAAATTTTTCTAAAAAGTTGATTTGTGTGGCCGGAGATAGTATGGGGTTAACAGGTGCTTGTCTTGCATGCAGCTGACACAGACTTAATCCCTAGCACCACATCATCTCCCAAGCATTGTGAAGGCCAGCCACGGGGGCACCTGAGCACCACCATACGTGGCCTAGGTGATCCTCAGCACCAAATCTCAGGCCCTCACACTGAACCCAGGAATCGGGGGTCTGGGACTTGCCAATTCCTCTCCTAGGCCTCTTGAGCACCTTTTGGTAGGACACTGCCGCACCTCCCCCAAGGAAAAAAAAACAACAACAAAAAATAACTTTGACTTATTCTATAATTACAAATTAGGGGCTGGAGGGATAGAACAGTGGCTAGGGCTCTTGCCTCGCCGGCGGTTGACCCAGGTTCGATCCTGTGTCCCAGATGACCCCTGAGCCGTGCCAGGAGTGATCCATGAGCAGTGAGCTCGGAGTAAGCCCTGGGGAATCACCGGGTTTCAAACCAAAAAAAGGACTCAAGGGGTGGGGTGGGGGTTGGAG